AGCACAAATTTTGGATTTTGACCAATGAGAAAGCTGATTTCTTAATATATTTTAATTTACGTCTGTGTGAATAAGGTCCCAGACGCATAATTTTATAAAAAATAATTTACAATATTATTTTCTGTTTCAGGCACCAACACCCAGGGGCAGTATAGGACCTTACTCGTTCCCCATCAAACACAAATCACCACGGCATTCACCACGTGATTCACCACGGGTATCAGATGAAAGACGGAACTCCGGACACGCACGTGTTGTCTTTCCACCAGTAGAAGCTAGACGTGCCAGAAACGCCAACAACTCAGAACCGCGCCCCGATTATGATTAAAGACCGGAAAATTGAAGGAAAAGTGCATAATTAAAAAACACTATAAACCCCAACTTATCTCTCAATGAGTTAAAATCCACCTGTACTTAGTAATTATTGGAATTGTGATACGAGTTATCTGCCTTTTCCTATTCATTTACCGTATACACCAAATCTCTGGCGCAATAAATAGAGGATGGTAATAGTATCGGACAAGAAAAGGAAAGGGTGGTACTCAAACAGCATCGAAAAAAATATACAATTCACTTCAAATTTAAAATACAACAATATTTTTCGGTTGTCCACATTTAGAAAATAACACAAGCCAGAAGCCGAGAAACTTGTATAACACATTAAGAAAATAACACTTTTCCTTCAATATCTAAATTACTTTTTTACTTATATTGCCTTGAATCTTTCTGTTAGTACGTAGTATATATTGTGCCTTTATGATACAGTCTTCGAATAAATTATAATTTTAAAGATACCAATAGCTAAACAAAATCTTAAATTTTAAATTTAAAAAATATGATGCATATGGATTATTTTCAAATAAATTAAAACGTATGATTAGATGAGATAATCTCAAACATATCTTGTGGTTATAAATCCAGAATTAGAACATATATACAGTTTATTTTGAAATAACATTCCAAGTAAAATAATATACATTCACTTCCGGCTCATTTATAAATCTCAATGTTGTCTTTGTTGAGAAATTTAAATAAGATAGCCTTTAAAAAATGCAACTATCGTTTTAATTAAATCTAAACTATTACATTCCATAGTGTATATTTATATATTCCATTCTTTCCGCGACTTTTCTATATATAAGTTGATTAATATTTCATCAGTCAATTCTAGGGAAAGTAGGCCTTAACGAAACAACAAAAACCTTTTCATTCGGATTATTTGTTTTATCATAATATGTAATAGATATTCGTCGCTCAAATTCCACAAAAGCCAATCATGACATTCTTAAAATATTCCATATTTTGTATTTTTGAATCTGTTTTTCTTTAAAAGTATTTTTAGACGAATCTCGTTGCTGTATATTTTTGTACCATAATTTATTCTCCAGATCTTTTTCCCTCCCCAGTGGATAAACTTTATACGAAATCTCATTATGATACAGATCTATATTTCGTTTCGTTTTCTTATATTTTCGATGGCTGCCACAACGTAAACCAAATTTTGAAACAGAATAGGATCTGAGTCTTGTCTGCGATATCACCTCGGTGGAAGCAGACGTAAAATACAACTAACTCACATACATAGGATCCGAGTTTTAATCAGAAAGTTTTACACAAAGTTATTCTTCAAATCTGATTTTTATTAAAACATTTATTGAGAGAAAATTATAATCATTAATTATTACAATGATAAACCACCAGAATATCATATATTACATTAGGCTCTGTCTTTATATGAATTTAAATTTTAGCTATTCGATGTATATCGATACAGTACAGTTCTACGTTTTTTAGATGTTTTTTTTTTCTGTTATCTGCTTTTTAATAAATATCTTCTCTTGGCAATTGTTGTTCTTGTCTATCTGAGATAATATTTTTTTTTAAATTATGTGGTTCCATGGATCGTAAACATACAAGTGGTTGTAGAGAAGTTGAGTCAAGGTCGACGGACGGCGGACGAACGAGAGACGAAAGCCAGGCAGGAGATATGGCATAGTACTTTATATGAGCTAACGTACTTACTGACATACAGTTGCTTAGTGTAAGAATTATTACAAAATGAAATGAAATGGGGTTTAAAGTCCTACTGTTCTGCTCCGAACTGGCTTAATGAAGACGAGCTTACGCCATACAGTGTGCTATGAGGGAAATTTTGCCCGGTAGCGGCACTACGGCCTACTCTTTTTTCGAATTCAAACTGTCAAGGGTTCTTTTACGTTCACCTCACTGTATACACGGGACCTCTTTTTTTTTGTCCCATCCGAACGACTAGACAGCTGTCCTTGTCAGACCCTCCGTCCTGCACCAGGTTGTTGATATACACCCGTATATCTATATCCATAGTATATATTGTTTAATTGTTTAACACCATTTATCACACGTAGCATCTTTCATCAACTATTTAAAATTCTCTAAAAGATACCCTGGCTTCTACTTCAGCGCTGGGTGCTGGGTGGGCTTGTCTACCTGTCCTCATAAATACAAAAACATGAGATGTCGTACCAGGGTGTATGGGGATCTGAGAAAGGGCCCTCATTAAGTGCCCTTATTTCTGAAAAAGTGCCCTTATTTCTGAAAAAAGTGTCCTAGAATTTCAAAAGAGTTACCTCAAATACTTAAGGAAACTCAGCGAGTGCAAAACCTCACTGCTAAAATGATTCTTGGACAATCCAAATTCTTCAGTTCATCTTCCAATACGTTGTGAATGTAAAACTCAACTGATGGTGTTTAAGTGTTTGAACAATATTGATCCTAGAGTAACTATGTGATCTTTTGTCATACAATCCTAATCGATATTACACTCGATCATCAGTCGCCCCAAAACAAACAAATAAACCCCTTTGCTGATAGATCTGTTAGTGTAGCAAGACCAAAATGAAATAAACTATCACACGAAATCAGAAAGAGTGCCCTTCATTAGTACGCTTCAAGAAAACTTTATAAACTTATCCCTTTGAAACAACATTCTACAAATAACAATTTGTATAATGTGTTTGTTTAATTGACTTGATGTATATGTTTGTGTATATATTGTTCATATATACGGCCATTGAATACATAAAGGTGTAATAATGAGAGCTATATTATATTGGTGTCAGTCATTATCACATATATATACCATAGGTTGTTATGTGAGACTGTGGTGAGAGGATATCTGACAATTCAAAAATGTAATTGAATGTCACTAGATAAGAGAAAACGAGAAAAATAGAAATAGTCTGTACATTCCCTTGTTTTTATTCATTCTATACTTAATAAAAACATAGTAATGCACGGACATTTTCTAAAACAAATTTATTTTTTTATTTATTTATTTTTTTTTATTTTTTTTTTTTTGGGGGGGGGGGGCTCTTATTTAGTGATATTCAATTATTTTCTTGAATTGTCAGATATCTTCTCACAGTCTCATATAACAACTTTTGGTCTTCGAAAGAATTATTAGTGAGCAGAAATTCGCCCGTGTGTATCTGTTATCTATTGTCACTTCAGTCAGTTATATAGAAGGATAACTCGTGTTTCCCTTTTGCCTTCGTCACTTCCGTTTTATGAAATCTTCATTACGCATCTATCGTAGAAATGATATCTGTGTTAACATTATATTTGGAACGTGTTTAACCATTTCTATCACATATGTGATAATGACTGACACCAATATTGTCCTTTAAATTCAATAAACATATGTGATAATGACTGACACCAATATTGTCCTTTACATTCAATAAACATTTGTTGATAAAGTGATACTACTGGTTGTTTGTTATCAACCATTGTTTCATTCGTAGCTTTGTTCCTCAAGTGACGCTACTGGCTATTTGTTGTTAAACATTGTACCATCCGTATCGTGAGTCTTCAAGTGAAACTAGACATCGATTGTTTAACATCTTCAATAACCCGTTAAATAGACACTGATCGTAGACCAAATATTTATTGAATTATCTGAAACTTATCTTTACATCTTGTTTGTCAAGTCGTTCAGGAATCAATGCATGTCTTTTGTTCTACTATAGGAAATTATCATTGTCCATGAATGGTTTTCATACTCGCGTGCTTTCCTAACGTAATATATTTAATAATTCGATTAAGTTGATAACTTGTAGAGCAGATATACGTACTTGTATTTAGGTTTGGTTATTAGCACAAATATCACAAGATAGACGCCGGTTTTTATTTCATGTGAGTAACCAGCATATTACAAGGGAGAAGCCAGTTTTTATTTCATCCGAGAGGCCGAGAAGTTTGTACAACACAAGTGAGCGAATAACTTGTACAACACAAGTGAGAGGCCGAATAACTTGTACAACACAAGTGAGAAGCCTAGTATCTTGTACAACACAAGTCAGAAACCGAGTAACTTGTACAACACAAGTCAGAAACCGAGGAACTTGTATAATACAAGTCAGAAGTCGAGTATCTTGTACAACACAAGTCAGAAACCGAGTAACTTGTACAACACAAGTCAGAAACCGAGTAACTTGTACAACACAAGTCAGAAACCGAGTAACTTGTACAACACAAGTCAGAAACCGAGGAACTTGTATAATACAAGTCAGAAGTCGGGTATCTTGTACAACACAAGTCCGAAACCGAGTAACTTGTACAATACAAGTCAGAAGTCGGGTAATTTGTACAACACAAGTGAGAAGTCGAGTAACTTGAACAACAGAAGGCGCGCACAGTTTTTATGTCACCCGAGTAACGTTTTTTAACACAAGTTAGGAGCAAGAAACCAGTATATAAACCAGGAGCAGTTTGAGTGGGTTTGTTTTTTTGGGTTTTTTTTGTCATCTTGAAGAAGGTTTTTATAATCAAAAGTTTTGTGTTTGTATTCTGTATATTTATAAATGGAAGGAAATTAGACCATATATTTATTACTAAACCTAAAGTGTTGGAGGTTAATATCGTTCAATAATGGCGACTAAGGGATCCTGGGTTATTGTAGCTGTGTTGTATTCGTGTGTGTCCGTCTCGCTTACTAAAGATATATTTTACAATAAAATTAGCCTGGATATTCCGGTTACGATGTATTATTCGTTTTTAATAAGGGAAATAACTCTGTCACAATGTGCCATGGACTGCGCGAAACTTACCGGATGTAAATTGTTCCACTTTAGTTCCAACTCATGTTATGTTCTCAATATGCTAACCACTGGGATAGGATCTGTGAAGTTAAACAGTATCCATGTCGATGAACAACTGAAAGGTTTGTCTATAAAATACAATCTACGTCATGCTGGCTTGTTAGTTGCATGAATAAACACATTGAAGTTAGGCCTACCTTTTTTGACCAGTAACTGAGGCCCAAGTGCTGCTCAAATGCCTGAGGCCCCACCAATTTTAGTGGGACCGACTTGAAATTTGGCATGCTTATTCCTTTTAACGAATTTCGATTTAGATATGAACTCACAATTCCAGTATGGCGTCGTGCATGGTTCCACGTCCTTATTGTTGGCGTTTCTTTATTTATCGTTCTTGTCTATTAAATACAATCTCCATCTTGCTTTAAAATGAATGAGGCACTGGCTCACTAATACCCCCGTCACACTGTGATGGCGTCCTTACTGCGCTGCTATGGCGACGGAAAATGGGTTCAAAGCGCGTTAAGTTCGCCATAAGCGTGGTAAAAGTGTGGTGTAAACGCCATATATCGCCCTGTGGTCTCCATGGTCGCCAATGATCGCCGAGTCACGACGTTTGTTTTGTGCATGTTCAAAACAAACGCCAAGGTTCTGCGATCTGACATAGAAACCTTGGTATTTTTGGGACATTTTCTCGCGTTTTGTTCACGTTTGTGCATTTTCTGGGGTCCGTACGGTCCCAACAGCGCAGTAAGGACGCCACCAAGGTCTGATGGGGGCATAACCAGGCGATCGAGGTTTGATTCCGGTGATGGCTGATTTTCCAGAGTGGTTTCCACTTGTCAGTGGTTCAGGACGTAGAATCTGGGAAGGACGGGGAACAGTTTCTAGTTGTTCGGATGAGACGTAAACCCGAAGTCCCATGCACATGTTGGCCTTGACAGCTTCATTAGGCTTGACTGTACAGAACAGTAAGGCGTTATACCTCATTTCTTTTCATTTAGGTGGGGGGGGGGATGGTTTGCACGTGCGCGCTGTATCATACGATCTGTCATTTAGTTAACTGGCGGGATTTCGATTGCCCGATTGTACGTGACAAGGAGTAGGGTCGCCTGTCCAACCTCGTGGGTTTTCTCCGCGTCCTTCGGTTTCCTCCCACTGCTAAAGACCCCTACACGCAAGAGAATTATTGAAATAAAATTAAACCATATGTTAGTCCCGAAATGACCTAGTTTGTGTCGAGTGCACGTTAAACCCCATTTCTCTCTCTCTCTGTCATTTCATTTAGTTTGTTTGTTTTCAGAAACCTGTCAATCAAAGCAATATACTCCACTTCTAGATGGAATATTTTGTATTGATATGTCAACTTATAAAAGAACTTGGCCTGACGCTGAAGCGGTTTGTAACGATACGGGAGGTCGACTTCTGATCATGACAAATGTTGAACTTAGTCTTAAATGGGAGCCGATAAAAGCCATGACAAGTAAGATCTTCGACCATTTTAACAGGCCTTGGACAACTGCGGGGTTAGGTGATCGTACGGTTTAACGCATACACGTTAGATCGTAAGGTCTGTCACTGAGTCAAGTGGCGTGGTTTCGATTACCCGCGTGTACTTGATAACGAGCTTGACGGAAAGATTAAATTGAAAATCCATGTACTGGCCACTTAGGGTGAGTATGTATATCTGGGACATCAAATGATTTGAATTAGACATTACAGCAGGAATTGAAGAGATTAACGCGGGCTCAGACCCAACGTCTCATTCAGTCAACCAGGAGAGTTTAATGGGTTGTCCAGGGTGCAAACATCTTCAATAGAAGGCTTCATCTCGCCTTAACTACGTACATGTAAAACTCGCGATCGTTGCTTCAGGAACATGGGGTGCAATAGATGTGGACTTTTTCACTGTTTAGACCACTTGGACAATTTGAAGATGAAATGAGTTAAGCTGTATGATTTCCTATTAGCCTGTATCAACCAGTCATAGTTGTTTTCAATTAGTTTCACCCACTTTACGCCTTTTTTACGCGACACAATACCGTTTACTTAAACTTCATTTTCTGTCTTTCATGGCTCTTTTCAGTGTTTCATGGGGCAGTACTGGTAGATTGAATACCTTCCAGAATGTTCCTGGAAGCAGAATTCATATCTATATAAAAGGACATTGGCCATAAACCGGACAGGATCAGTTTACATTCGCAAACGCATCATTTGCTGTATTATCTGATCCCCTAGCGTGGTTTCGATTCCCCGGTTGTATGTGACAAGGAGTAGGTCGCCAGGGCCGTAACTAGCACAGAGCAACCGGGGGGGGGGGGGCAAGAAGTGTTTGTTAGTCCCAAAATGACCTAGTTTGTGTCGAGTGGACACAGGATTTTATGAAATCGTGGTATAGAATAAATGTATGGTAGGGCATCTATTTTAACATCATCTTTACTCTTTAATGTTTTTGTTCCTTTTGAATATTGAAAGTATATTGATTGGGTTAAATCTCCAGTTTCGGTAAATTCATAACGGATTGATAAGGGTCGTTGTCTGGGCCAAAGTCTAACGACAATATTTTGTACACGTAAAGCCAATATTATTAGAAATTAATGGTTGGCCCAGCACGGGTATAGCCATGACGCGGAAGTAACAGCTGGCCTCCTAAACCGGAAGTGGTAGTCCGTCGCTACCACGCCTCGGGACAGCCCTAGTGCAGCCGGCAACCCGGAACAGACAGACAGGTAGAATAAACAAACCGTAGCCATCTCTGGTTTGGGGGGTGGGGGGAGATCAACGCACCCCGATTCCCCGATTGTACGTGACAAGGAGTAGGGTCGCCTGTCCAACCTAGTGGGTTGTCTCTTGGTCCTCCGGCTTCCTCCCACGACCAAAGACCCCTACGTGCAAGTGAATTATTGAAATAAAATTAAACCATGTGTTAGTCCCGAAATGACATGGTTTGTGTCAAGTGAACGTTAAACTCTCTCTCTCTCTCTCTCTCTCTCCTCTCTCTCTCTCAATCAATTTTATTATTTATTTAGAATTTATGATATAAGTTTTGTAATTACTTTTAATCATGTTTTAATTATTTTTTTTTTTAAATTTTAGCAAATGAGTTTTGGATCGGGGGAAATGACGAAGCTAAAGAGGGTAGCTGGGTATGGTCAGATGGATCAAGTGTAACCGGAAGTGGTTGGATATCTGGCCAACCAGATAATTATTTGGGCAATGAAGACTGTCTTGAACTGTTAGGAGGTTTGTTAAACGACACACCCTGTGTAAAATCCGTATATTTTCTCTGTGAGAAGCCATATCCTTTTGTATTTTAAGGGCGTATATTCATTTGTATTTTAAGGATATGCGTGTTTTCGGTGTGACAGAAAATATATTTATTCACATCTCAGAGATACAAGGGAATATTTTATTCGTTAAAATGACATGTAATAATTTAATTAATGGTATAATGGAATGAAATAGTGTAATGTTATAATGTAATGTGCTTATGTAATGATGTAATGTGATGATGTAATGTAATGATGTGATGTAATGTAATTATGTAATGTAATGATGTAATGTAATAATGTAATGTGATGATGTAATGCAATAATGTAATAATTTAATGTGCTTATGTAATGTAATGTTGTAACGAAATAATGTAATGTGATGATGTCATGAAATAACGTAATGTAATAATGGATTGTAATGTTATGATGTAATATGTAATGAAATAATGTAATGTTATGTAATGCTGTGATGTAATGTAATGATGTAATGAATGGAGCAATTTGACTGAAATTTTCAACATATTCTGTTTACGTTATCTATTTTTAACTATTATAGCTTTATCTAATCTCCCGTAATGTCACTTTAACTAAAGAAAACTAATGGAATCCAACAAAATCTGCAATATACACAAATCAAATATATCAGTTACTGTCTTTAAAAAGGGCTGGCTTGGATTTGTGAAATGAAATGGGGTTAACTGTGACAAAGTGCTCTATACCTTTGATCAAATTGAACGATCATTTAGGTGCATAGAACTTATTGACACCAGCTGGATTTTGATAATATATGATAGTGACTTTTCAACTGTGTATATACTTCTGTTTAGGCACGAACTGGCTATGATCTAATTAAACATGTAATGAATCCCATGTATATGATGTGTGTACAAGCGCCGCATGACTTCAAGGGAAATACGCACTAGTCCATAATCATACCACGACGTGATAAATAAATAGACAATTCCATATACATGTACGATCGCGAGTCTTATCTATTTTCCCTATTGTCTCAGGAGTTTGCTGAGAGTGACGGGACTAGACGAGAGACGAGTGGGGAGGAGACAAGGGGAGCAGAGACCGGCGAAATGATTGAAATATAGTATTATTCTATATTAAATGTACCGTCTTGGTGTTGTTGTTTATGTTCCTGTTGTAGGTATGTAGCTGTTTTAGTTATGTAGCTGTTTTATATTCTGTTTCAATGTAAATAAACCCTACATGTACGAAACTGATCTCTGTTATCTATTACATAACGTCCTACTGTTCTTCTCCCACTGGACTAATGAAGACGGGCTCTACCTTGATCTAAGTTTGAATATAACCAAGAATGCGCCAAATCGAATCTTTTTTTCAAAATTTTCTGGGGATTTCGTACTGCTCTGAGCCCTACGCATTCTATCTCTATTGTATGCCGTGAATACTGAAAGTAATGGATATTCCTTTCACAGCGACGATCAACGACTTTAAGCTTTTGAATCAGTTTACTGATGGAATTAACACATTTCAACACATTATTTAAAATTAAATCAAACAGGTTCAGCTATTTGAATGGTGTTTGCCCCATCACTAATCAAACAGGTTTAGCTATTTGAATGGTGTTTGCCCCATCACTAATCAAACAGGTTTAGCTATTTGAATGGTGTTTGCCCCATCACTAATCAAACAGGTTTAGCTATTTGAATGGTGTTTGCCCCATCACTAATCAAACGGGTTTAGCTATTTGAATGGTGTTTGCCCCATCACTAATCAAACAAATAATTTAGATCATCTTTCTCTTGTTTGTTGGGTTTAACGTCCGCTTCCAGCGATAGAAGACACGTGCTTTCTGGGACACCTGCCAGTCAGCCAGTAGCATGTAAGAGATGGAGAAGTTGGGTTTAACGTCCACTCGACACAAACTTTTTCATTTTGGGAATAACATATGGTTCAATTTTATATCAATAATTCGCTTGCACGTAGGGGTCTTTAGCAGAGAGAGGAAACCGGAGGACCTGGAGAAAACCCAATCGTCGCCTACAAGTGTACTCAATTGGTCACCTCAATTGGTCACCTCCGTCCCCTTTGGGATACAACTCTAAAGGTATCTTTACACCTTAGATCAACCCAATTTAAATGTTCAATTTGTTTTAATTTCAATCAGGTACAGTACATTGTTGTTATATTTAAATAATTCTGTTTATATACATACAATTAGATCCAGTCAGTATTATTCAAACAGATTCAATAGTTTAACAAAGTTTTATCAACTCAATAGTTGGTTCAATAGTAGCACTCAATACTTCAAAACAGTTAAACATAGTTACTGAACTCGATAACTTAAGGTTCATAGCTTAACAGGTATTTACAGAACTCAATATATATAGTTTAAAACATTTACAAGAAATCAATCAGTTACATATGATTACTATATTGATAGTTTAAATGTTTACAGGGCTCAATAGTTTGGTCACATTGTTACAGAACTCACTAGATTAACAATGTTATAGATCTCAAGACATAACTAAATAGTTGAACTCTGTTGCAGAGCTCAATAGTTTATCATGTTTATAGAACTCAATAAGCTGTTGCAGAACTCAATAGTTTAACTTGGTTACAGAACTCAATAGCCTGTAACTCTGTTACAGAGCCTTGGTAGTTTAACACAGCTGCAGACCTCAATAGTTTAATGGAAAACTACACCACAGCTGTAGCACCACACCACAGCATCGAATAGATGACAGTATTAACATGCAGTTTCTGTCATTTATAAATACATTGGAGTTACCTCCCTTTTATTTAATTTGTTTGTAGAGTTACTGTCCTTCATTATTCATAACAAAACTATAATAAGAACCAAGATTACTGTATTCTGGTTGCTGGTGTGTTGCCATAACAACTGTTTGTGTCGTAGTTGATGGTACGGTGTAGACAATACCTCCGTCTGCCGGATTGGGCTGTCCTAAGGTTTGAATGGACCCGGGCTGAGCAAGCGGATCTATGATTAAACCCCTAGAATTTAAATGAGCGTGCACCCTAGCATCCATGACAACGGTCAACTGTTGAGGATCTATGGGAGTGGCTAGTGGATGCAACTGTTGATGACCTATAGAAGAGGCCAACATGTGTCCTTGACCTTCATGTACCAAACCTGTTGGATTATTCTGATGGATGATCATATTTTGAGCTGTCGTTTCCATGACTACTGGTTCAACCGAGTTGATGTACTGGGCATTGTGCATGATTTGAGGATATATATTACCATCAGTTTCTTGTTGCTCAACATCAGGTTCAACCGATTCGTAAACCTCCATTGTTCTGCACGGCACTGACCGCGTCTCTAATTTTACGTTCTTTTTACCCTTTTTCTTTCGTCGTTTCGGTTTCTCGGTTGTCTGTGTTTCGCTACAGCTGTGACGTTTCTGGACATGTTCCTTTAGTTTATCTTTACGATGCGTCGAGTAGCTACACACGGAACAACTAAACGGACGGACTTCAAGATGGATTTTCTCATGTCGCAGCAGGTGACTCTTTTCTACGAATGATTTACTGCAATGTTCACAGTTGTATTTACGAATTCCAAGATGTGTCCTCATATGACCCTTCAACTGACTTCGTTTCGGGGAGAAATAATTACACTGCGGGAACTGGCATTTAAACACATCACCTGAAAATACAGGTAAAACTTTATACAATCACAATTAACATTGGCATTTAAACACCTGAAAATACAGGTAAAAGTAATGACAATCGAATAAAAATCAAAAGGCATTAAACTATTTGTCATGTATTTTGTACACAGTGAACAGTCCATTTGCTGATTACACCATTTGAATTTTGTCTAATGGTTTGGATTGTTCGTACTTGGTTTTATTTTATTTTTTTTATCTTATAAGATATGGTTAGGATAGGGTTGAGGTGAGGGGGGGGGGGGGGTATTTTATTTATCTTTAATGTTATCCATGTTTTTTTAAAGGGGCATTATGGGAGATTAGATAAAGAGTTGACGGTTCTCGCTTTAATAGTTAAAAAATTTGATAAGGTAAATAGAATAAGCTGAAAATATCAGTCAAATTGCTCTACTCTGAACCAAGATATTAGCTTTTGAATTTTAGCCTAGCCTCGATCATCATTACTAAAGTGATAAAAACATTTTCAAAAAATGTATTCCAATCAGCTAAATATCCCAAGCTATGGTTTGGATAAGTTAATAAATGTCTAATTAATAATTTAGATAACATTTCAAGCCTAAAGAAAGTCCTGCAATAGGCAGATTTAGGTCTTGAATAATGTATGTTTAATATACAATGTATACTATTTACATGTATATTTGTGTATATGAATTAACAGGGTACTACAACTATTTGAGATATTTCTATATTAAATATTTATTTCTTTAGGATAATACTGTGACAATATTGACTAAATTCCTATATGACTTATAAATAACTGTGGACCATAATCAGTGGAACTTCTTATATTTCGGCTGATAATAATCCACCGCCGCTCAGAACATCTATATTTACGCCAAGCAAACTATGTGATTCTTGAGCAGAAAAAAACATTGATGAAGGACTAGTTTTATACTTTCACCTGATCTGTACTGTAAATACATGTTTGTCCTTGGCTACAGCTGGCCTGTTGCTTCGCCTACATGTATAAGTCCAATTTCAAGGCAAAGGTGCTTACAATCTCAACAGAGAGAGAGAGAAATTGGGTTTAACATCCACTCGCCACAGACTAGGTCACTTCAGGACTAACACATGGTTCAATTTTATCTCAATAATTCGCTTGCGCGTAGGGGTCTTTAGCAGTGGGAGGAAACCGGAGGACCCGGAGAAAACCCACGAGGTTAGACAGCGACCCTACTCCTTGTCATGTACCACCGGGGATTCGAAACCACGCCAGTTGATTCAATGAAAGACCTGATGATACAGAGCGCAAGTGTTAACCAATCGACCATCCAACCCCCAAATATTGAAAGGAGTTTTAGGTAAAAGAATAAGAAGAATCTTACCAGTATGAATACGTTTGTGTGAGATAAGATGTGATTGAAACTTGGTTCCAAAACCACACTTATCACATAAATATGGCCGATCATCGCTGTGGCGTACTGAATGTTGATTCAGCGTACTTTTCGTGGCAAAACATTGATGACATATTTCACATTCCCACGGTTTTTTACCTGTAAAATATATTAAATATTTGAATATCTGGAAACTATATTAAATGTATTAAATATATGAAGACATAGGCGTAGGAGGCTACGGGGCAGGGGGTGAACCGCCCATTTTAGAGAGAAGGAGAGTGGGTCAGTGTCCACTCAGTCATTTCTGGACTACCATATTGTCTAATTTTATTTCAATAATTCATTAAGGGGTCCTTAGCAATGGGAGGAGGAACTGGAGAAAACTCATGAGGTTGGGCAGGCGACTCTTTGTCAAGTACAAGTTTGGGCTTGAACCCACACCACTTGACCCAATGACAGACTTTAGGGTCTAAAGCACACATGTTAGACCACTGAGACAACCAATTGAACAAGTCCTGACGGTTCTTTTCAGCCCATGGCCATGATGGGATACAAAACATGAAATGAAATGGGGTTTATTAACATTCTATTGGGCTAATGAAGACAGGCCGTACAGTGTGCTATGAAGGAAATTTTGACCAGGCAGCTGCACTATGACCTACTCTTATATTGAATTCCATCTGCCAAGGGATCTTTTACATGCTCATTCAACCTGATGGACTGGACAGCGGCCTTACACCATTGACAAGGGGAAACCATGCCAACATCAGGATTGAACCCACAACATCCAGGGTAGAAAGCCACTTGTCCACCGTGGATCTATGATGGGATACAAATCCTGAGATAATTGATTCCAGTGTCTTGTACAGTACTACACCACACCCTCACCTACCATACAATCACACACCCCTTCCCTACCACTATGCATCCCCCCCCATAACCTATGACACGATCAAACACCCCTCCCCCACCTTTGACCCTTACCTATATGACATTTTCTGTGGGCGTACAGATTGCTTCTGGTTCTAAATTTCATCGGACATTCTTCACACGGGAACGGTCTCTCGTCTGTGTGTTTTACTCGATGTATGAGAATATTGCGTATTGTATCAGCCGTATATTTACAGCCTTCGTGTTCACACTGAAATGGTGGTCCGTAATAATGTTTCTTCATGTGAGTGTAAAAACTTTTATTCCACGTACAAGTGAACTCGCAGACATGACACGTATACGATCTCTCTGTGTCACTGTTGTGTCGTTTCCGTTGGTGATCTTCAAATCGAGCTTCACTTGTCGTAGTGTAATCGCATTCAGTACAACTACGCAATTTATTTTTATTTTTAGATGCTGAAGCCTTTTTTATTTTCGGTTTAGTTATTGCACGGGATGCTTTTGCCTTGTTTTTATCAGTATCTTGCTGTTCTTCATAATCAGGATCGCAAGCATCATCGTAATGGTCTTGATAATCATAGCTATTGTCGTAATCCACATCATCGTTACCATGGTTACTCGTCTCGACTGTATCCAGATCTTCACTGAAACAACTGACTGGTTCTGTCAACTTCTCAGATTTTTGGGGTTTTGTGGAACTTTTGTTTCTAGTAATCATATGTTTTATCGGATGATTTGATTGGATAACCGTTTCTCGGTCTGAATCTTTCTTTTTCTGCCCTCTAGTGGTCATTTTCTTTTTGAACGATTGATTGGTTGAATACGTTTTTAGCGGAACGACCGTATTCTGAAAATTTTGATCAATCTGTTCACATTCTGGGTCATCGTGCTGTGATTTATCCCCACTTTCGATCACGTCTGAGTTTTTCTGTGCAGCAGACACAGAAGTCATGTGATCGTTTGGTTGTTCTGAATCTATCGTCACGGTAATACTAACAGGAAAGTAATCTTCAGGATTTACATCAAGAACACTATTTTGCACGACCTGATTCAGTAAGTGGGAATATTTTTCACGTAACGATGGAAAGATATCTACGTACGAACCTAAAGATATGCCGGAACTGTGCAGTGTTTGCAGTAACAGAAATAAACTTGATTCATTGGTTGTAAAAAAATTCTCGGTTTGACTGATTTCCTGGAGAAAATCGCCAGCTACAATCGACCAATCAATATGCTGCAATAAAGCAACGAGATACTGTTCGCGGTCCTTCACATCATAACCTAGCCAACTTATTATTAGAAATAGTTTGACCTCTGGTTTCAGGTGAATCACCCATCCCGTAGCGAGAAAAGTATTAAAACGAATCGCAGGAAGATTTAAAAAGTCGAGTTGTTTTACGGCTTCGGGTAAATGCATCTGCAAATACGCCAAAGCATATTCTTCTAATCCGCATAATTTAAATTTTCGCGCTACGTAGAATGTACTAACAATATTCCCAACATGCAAATTACATCGCAACGTCCCTTCACATACTTCACGTAAAGCCTCAATCTGAAAACTTGTCGCTAGATGAAGTAGCTGGATCAAGTTTGTGTCGCGTAAATCAATCTTCCCTGTGTACATAAACGAGATCATGTCGGAAAATATCTCAAAATTATCGTAATTAACGCGTACGATCTCGGTACACGCCAAATTCGACTTTAGATGTGTGTAAATAAATGGGCTCCATGCAGCAACGACGGCACGATGGGCGTTGATTCGCTGATTGTGTATTTCAAAAATAAGATCACAGTAAGACTTCTGTAACTTCATCTGATAAAGAGTTTCTGTAAGATAGACACAGTTTCGTATATGATATGGTAGAACGGTATTTGGTTGAGTGTTGATGTATGTTGTCTCTATCTGCTGAGCTCCGTGCTGTAAATTAGGATCATCCATTTTATATAACACACATCAATATTTAAAAAAAAAAAAAAATCCAATCGTTATTTATCTCAATTTCAAGAAGAAGTTATCTAATGTTAAGACAGTTTAACCATGTCTACTTCCTGTCATCCAGTCCAGCTTCTATCCATTATCTAAAATTAAGACAGTTTAATCATGTCTACCTCCTGTCATCCAGTTCAGATTCTATCTACAAAATAACAGAAAAAAAAAGGAATATCAATAAGCTGCATTAATTAACCCATCCCTAATGTCAATCAATATATCGTATAAACATTACGTCAACCAATCAGATTAGGTTGTATTGTCAGGTTGTAAAAGTGTCGCCTAGGCCATAATGTATTGTAAATCATAGAAAGATACACTATGTAAGTATGTAAGAGCTAACTCTGTCTATTGCAAGTATTTATTTTGGTTTCAAATGTTATATAAACTATAAATTAGACATTTATTAACATAACAAGACTTAAAGTATCTCTCTAGAACATCAGATGGCTGAGATTTAAACATTTAACCATAAAATAGACAATCAAGGCTAAGTTTCCCTTAACATCAATTTGACACTAACTAGGTCATTTTGGGACTAACATATGGTTCAATTTTATAACAGTAATTTCCTTGCATGTCTGGGGTTTATAGCAGTGGGAGGAACAGGAGAAACCCCAGAATTAAACAAGCCCTCTCCTTGACATTGGGAATAGGAACAACAAATTCTAACAGGCTTTATACATCTGTAACATTTTCATTGGTCTTCCTTAAAAATAGTATTTAATTAGTTATTAATTTTAGAGGCTTCAGAGTTTATCATTCATCAAGCCTATAGATTGATCATTTACTTTTTAAATAAATAGGCTACCACGTGAAATACGCGACCACAACACTACCAAAGTAAATCATATAAATTTATCCAAAAAAAAAAAAAAAAAATTAAAATTTGAATCTACTGCTTCTTTCATTAGCGAGCTGACGTCTTCATAAGATTCCTTCAAATGCCAAGACCATGAAGCATTACACGTGCTCTACACAAAATCATAACAAAGTCACGTGATAAATAAACCACGCCTACTTCCAATACAGCACGGGGTGACATTCTAAATTAACACGTTTTCGCACTGGTATTTTTGTCAAATACATCTATTTAACATCTTTTGCGATATATATCGATAATATATTACCTTATCAACGACCATAACTAAATATTAGCAATAGATTCAATGCAAATTTGACCATTTTTAAACAAATACATTCTAATTTCTTGAAATCTTCCCCCACGCCATAACAGGATATGACGTCAAAGCAGAAGTGTCTTTTTGATAATAGTTTTTATTATTTTTTTCAAAACAAACCAAATCTTGCGATGAAGATATTGACATTTCTTATATTGCAAAAACTGAAACTTGAAAATAGAACTGTTTACGTAAAATAAAACCCATTAAAAAAAATGTATTATCCGAGATATAAATAAATATCACGTGACGGTTTCCATGACAGTTACGACGCTATGTGATTGATAGAATGGTTTCAGCACGCGACGATTGATTAACTTTGAGTTAATATCATTAATTAATAAAATATTAGGTAAGACAGTTACGTGAGGGGGGTGATAAACGAGTCACTTAATTTAACGAGCGTGACTCGAGAGATTTTTATGATTATTTCTTTATCCGAATGGGCTAACTCAAGCAACACTGACTTCCTTTTGATTTTCTAAAGCTTTATTTTATTGTGACTTGTTCAAGTTGTGGATTCCCTCATATCATTTATTAAAGGTGTAGGCCTACTCTCAGTTTCGACTTAGTGGTTGTGATTGTGTGGGATTTATTTATTTATTTTTTTTTTAATCAATTTTGAACAGTTTAGATTTTACATAATCTGAAAATTTTAAATGCCTGAATTTAAATTCATGTGATGGACTATTTTCATGTCATTCACTCATTGTCAAGTTATTTGCAACCTATTGGCTATGATATTTAGGTTAAATGTACCCAGTAGGCCTACATTGTTTGACTGAGGTGATAGTAGTCCTTTGACTTGATTCTTTTGAGTTTGATTTATTGGGTTAGGAAGATGTTCGTATGACCAAATTAAAGTTCCTGCATGTCGTTGATGAGTAGGCCTATATATACGGTATGCACCAGGCAAGTCCTACTGGTAACTATAAAAATTAAATGATAGAAACTGTTGTTGGGCCTAGTTCAGCCTATACATAATTGGCGGCTTTAAAGGTTTACACATGTCTGCCAACAATAGTTTTTGATTTGTCATGATTTAAATTGACATCAGTTGGTAGTAGTTTAGTCTTAGCTGCTAGGATTGAGGAGTGGTGGAACCACCTGCACGCCCCGCACCCTCACCCAATTCTATTGACAATGGCGGTCAACTCAGCTAGCATTGTTTGTAGAAAATGTTATAAAACCTCAGAAGTTACACCCAGGCAGTAGTCTATATTCTCGATTATACAAAAACGTAAAAAGTATACCTGTATTTGTATTCAGCAATTACAAAAAATCTCATTTGTGTGCTGCAATCAGCTGTTAATCTTTTCTTACATCTTTTTCGGAAATATTATGGGATCATGTGAAACAGAATTAAGAATGTCAGAAACTGTTTTAATGTAACAATTTGAACGTTTTAGTGATCGTCATTGTATATTTCTTGGAAAAAAGAACTTGAAAAGATCAAGAAAAATTTGGTCTAGCAGCAATCAGCAAGACATTGGTTTGCATCTCCCAACCCATTTTCCAAAATCCTGTATTCACCCCCTGAGGTCAGCGCTTGTATTTTTTATCAACGATTTCATATTTATTTCATAAGGCCTGTCATGGAGTCAACTGGCGTGGTTTCGAATCCCCGGTTGTACGTGACAAGGAGTAGGATCGCCTGTCCAACCTCATGGGTTTTCTCAGGGTACTCCGGTTTCCTCCCACTGCTAAAGACCCCTACGCGTAAGCCAATTATTGAAATAAAATTAAACCATATGTTAGTCCCGAAATGACCTAGTTTGTGTTGAGTGGACGTTAAACCCCATTTCTCTCTTTCTCTCTCTCATATTTATTTTTCTTAGTGAAAGTGAGAGTGCCCCTTTAAGGATTTATCCATCGATTGCATGTTTGATCAATAAGTCGTTCTGATTAAGAAATAGTCGGACAGATTAAGGTAGAAATTATTTAGTACCTGGTAAAGAATAAAGAATTTATTGTGGACCTTCATGTAATTTATGTTTTTCCGTGATTGAAAGTCAATTATAGAGCGGAAGATTGGTTAAAGGGACTTGAAGACAGAAATCTAAATTTTCCTTGGTCTGATTGGTTGAAAGGGGTTGTTAATCGGACAGTAAACCTACTTTGTTTTAGTAAGGTCAATAATCTAATGATTTTAATCATGGTAGGCAATAATATCTGGTGGCCATCAAATAATCTATTAATTTAATCGTGGTAGACAATAATAGGCCTAACTGGCGGCCATCAAAATTGATAAGACAGAGATATAAATAGAAACAAAATGAAATAGATTTTAACGTCCTACTGTTCTGCACCAACAGGGATAATGAAAGAGAGAGAGAGCGAGAGAGAGAGAGAGAGAAATAGGGTTTAACATCCACTCGACACAAACTAGGACTAGGTCAAGTTTCAATTGTATTTCAATAATTCGCTTGTGCGTAAGGGTCTTTAGCTGTGGGAGGAAACCGGAGGACCCCGGAGAAAACCCACGAGATTGGACAGGCGACCCTACTCCTTGTCACGTACAATCGGAAAAATCGAAACCACGCTAGTTGACTCAATGACAGACAGACCTTATGATACAACGCGCACATGCTAACCATTCGACCATCCAACCCCTATCTGGGCTCATGAAGACAGGCACACTCCATACAGTGTGATGCTATGAATCTAGTTTGAAGGAAATTTTGCCTGGACTACTCTTATATCGAATTCCAACTATCAAGACTCATTCTTTACAAGTCCCTGCTCCACTGTATGTTCTTGAAGCAACGACTGCGAGTTTTACAACATCTGGCCGTTGCCTGTTTACTTGACAATTCCCAAACTTATAGCTACATTAACTACAGACACATGAACAGTAGCGTCCAATCAGAGGTTGTGACATAGCGACCTCCTCGGAAACCATGACATTGAACGAACCTTGAACTTTGCAACTCAATTATCACATTTAGACATTTTAGCTTAAAAGCATGAGACTTGGTATTCGGGACGATCGAGGACTTTGATAGCCTCACAAGCTGGGCTTGTACTCAATCAAAATTAGTGCCAAAATATGCAGGGTATTACGTGAAGGCCTTGATAAGATTTACGTAGTTAAAGCGAGATCAAACCTTCTATTAAAGATGGCGCCACTGAATCAACTCAGGAAAATCTGGGCTAATAAAGACGAGCTTATTTTCAACTCCATGTAAAGGTCGAGTTGGTTTTAATAGATAAGTAAAAATATTGCTACTTTAAACCCTTCACTTATTTTTGTTTACCTCAAACAAAGCTTTTTATTGGTTCGTCTGTCAGGCTGCGTGTATAAAGGATAAAAATAGATCGCTGATTGATTGATTGATTGATTGATTGATTGATTGACTTTTAGCTACATGACAAGACCTGGAACACAGAAACATCTAGCGTGATATTGTAAAGAGGCAATTTAAAGTGACTTATAGCGCTGATTTCTTTCTCTTTGACCAGTGTTAATTTGATTTAATCGGAGTGAGACAGCAAGAGTGACAGATAGTGGTTAATATTTGGGATAGAAGAGGTTAATATTTTTTATGATATGTTATTGATAACTTGGCACAAACTGGTAGTAGGTATTATCGCACATCTAGCCTGGAAATAACTGCTCTAATTTAACCGTTTCGGACTACTTTTAAAATATTTTCCAGATAGGTTTTAAAGAGATAAATAAGAATATGAATTCTATTTTTTTGAATGAATATGCATGAAAATAACACAAGGGAGAAAATACCTGCACCTTGAATTTTTTTGCCGATTATGACAAGGGAGGAAATAGCAGCATCCTTAAAATTTGTCCAGTTTGACGATCTACCTTTAATACTGAGACATGACCTACTCTAAACACTATCCAACGATCACTTTTCACATTTGATCGTAAAATTAAATTAAATTTCATATTTTTGTTTGAAAAATATCTAAATTATAATAGATAGCCTGCTCTAAAAGAATTATTCTCTAGTGAATCTTTTCACAGATTTTGTTCAATGTTGCTGAATGTTTTTACAGATTTTATCAAATGTTGCTGAATGTTTTTACAGGTTTTCGTGTAAAGATTATTTCAAGATAGTGAAGAATGAAACGGGACAGATAGACACAGTGATGTACAAATAATCCTGTGTCATGAAATAAAACGAACAGCTCAGGGTTTTTTTTTAAGTAGATGAATTTTACAACAAACAGAATTATTCACAGAATTTAGACCTAGATAAAATGGTATGTATTAATTTTATATTTTCAATTTCTCATTGTCACTGTACATCATGAAAGAATTCTATTTATAACAGCAATATTTATGCAAGCCGAGGGGTTTTGGGTGGTTGCATCATAGTCCCTCTTATTGAGTCAGGTGGCGAGGTTTCAATTCTCTACTTTTACGTGACCAGGAGTAGGGCTGTCTGTCCAACCTCATGGGTTTTCTCTGGTGTCCTCAGGTTTCCTCTGACTCCTAAAGACTCCTACGTGGAAGCAAATTATTGAAATAAATAGAACCATATGTTAGTCCCAAAATTACCTAGTTTGTGTCGAGGGGATTAAACCGCATCTCTCTCTCTCTCTCTCTCTTTTATAATGTACTGTACCCGATTGAAGTTAAAACAAATTGAACTAAAAAAAGTTAACATTTAAAATGTTTTTAATTGGGTTTATCTGAGGTGTAATGATCTCTTTAGAGCTGGAAGTGACATTAAAACCCATTTCTCGATCTCTCTCTCTCTCTCTCTCTCTCTATGTAAGCCATAAAAATGAATTCGCTTTTAATCATATTAATTGGTGAATATTCAGAGTTATGCCCCTTTTTCTGAAAACCTTGTACACACGATGCAGCCTATAGTTTTTGACGGATTTTTTAAAAATTTGGTGTGAGGCATTCTGGTCATGTGAGGACAAGCACTGTCAATATTCAGTGTACTGTGACTTTCCGTTCTGGAGTTATCCCCCTTTTGCCGAAAACCATGTGATCACGATAGAGGCTGTAGTTTTAACGGTTGTTTTTCAAAATTTGGGGGAAGCATTGGGAAAATGAGAGGATTTCGATTCCCCAGTTGTATGTGACAAGGAGTAGGGTCGCCTGTCCAGCCTCGTGAGTTTTCTCCGTGTCCTCCCATTGCTTAAGACCCTACACGCAAGCAAATTATTGAAATAAAATTGAACCATGTGTTAGTCCCGAAATGACCTAGTTTGTGTCAAGTGGACGTTGAACCCCATTTCTCTCTCTCTATAAAATTAAAACTTTATAATAGTCCAACATTTTATATCATTTTAGGTGGGGAAGAAGAAGTCGGGCAAAAAATCAGCCACGAAATCTGGCGGAAAAAAATCAGGGAAAAAAAGTGGAAAAAAGTCGGGCAAAAAATCAGGCAAAAAATCAGGCAAAAAATCGGCATCAAATACGATAAAATCAGTGAAATCCGAAATAGACATTTGTAGTCAACCGGCTATGGAAAATCTTTACTACATAGCTCACGACGCACCAGACGCTCTGATGAAACGAGGATTCGGGTGGCCCGATGCTCCGAAAAAAAAGAAAGGTGGAAAAAAAGGAAAGAAGAAGAAATAACTTCAGGCATTTATTTGTTTCATTGTGACGGACATTTCAACATCTGATGTACTTTCTATTATTAGGCCTACCCATGTGTTAGGTCTACTCATGTGTTGGGCCTACTCATATACTAGGCCTGACCATATGCCTATCTATTCGTAGACATCTGATCCGTGTGTGTAGGTCAAGGCTGTACTTACGTCATTTCCATCATTGCAGGAAATTACAAAAAATAGTGACGTCCAAATGAAACTCTTGTGATTATTGTGTTTATCTAGAAATCAGTGGTCTATAATTCTCATCTTAAAAACTGATTTAACTTTAAATACTGAAGACAATGTTCTTGCAACCTAATCATTTTCTTTCTTCCATTATTTCCTTAATTTACAAAAAAAAGTGACCTCCAAATGAATAAGTTTAAAGAAAACTCAATCTGCCTATTGCAGGTCTTTATTTTGGCTTCAAATGTTATATAAATTATTTTTAGCCATTTATTTATCCACATGACAAACCCATAATCAACTCTCTAGACCATCGGATGGCAGAGATTTAAATGGATTAGAACACCCACAAGATTTAACGATAAAGTGGATAAATCAGTCTTAGCCTCAGTTGTCAAGTACCGTTGCTAGGATAGTCAACAATCTGTGCTACATCTTCAAACAGTCATAACTTGGCCCAGAATAAAGTAATTTAAATGAAATTTTCAATATTTTCATTTTTTATCATCTATTTATGAATTATTATAGCAAGAATGACCAGATCTTTATTTAAATCTTATTTAATACATCTTTAAAATGTGCGGCATATCTTGCATGGCTGCCGTTAGTTAATTATTTTTGAACTATTACAGCAAGAACGACCAGAAACTGATCTAAATCGCACATATAATACATGTTTAAAATACTGAAGTATGGTGATTATAATTTATAGCGGTTATTGATTTATCTTCTGTCTGTCATCAGACAATCGAGATATCATGCCTAATAATTGTTTTCATATTTTTATATAAACGATATTTTATACAGGATATCTGAATGGAATTGGGAGACAGGCTTATGTCTATATATAAACATTGTCTGATAATTATTAGTACCAGGAATAGAATGGGAAATAAATAGCCTGCGAGCATAGTACTAATAGTAGGTTTGGGGGCCCTAAAACAAATTAATGGTCTCCCAAAATTTTGGGACCCTGATTAAGTTTGTCAGCCCTGTTTAGACTTGGCTTTACATTGTTTTTGATGTGCCAAATGTTAAATTACTACATAGGCTATTAACATCAGGATATTTACTCCAGTTTTTCAAAAAATTTCTCAGGGCTGGGGGTCAGCTGGGGGTACCCTTGAGTAGGGACATGCTGGCTTTGTGGCCTCCAATCTACAGTCTGTACATGATAAGTGCTTCATCATCATATTTCCCACTGCAAAACTTAGTGGTATATTTCTCGCACTTACTTAAAGATTAAAATACTGATCCTAATTTGTTCTGTTTTTCATAGTTAAAAATTTTGTTTTACTTAAATGTCTTTACTACACCAGGATCTCGAAAAGTTGTTACATAATCTACGATAAAAAAAAACAAAAAAAAACCTTGTATTTCTGAATAGCTTCTTGGAACACCGATGCTGCTTAAATTCATTGATTTTGATTTGTCCTTCTGTGTTATTGTATGTGACCGATGACAGCAAAATGAGTCGCAAGTCACAAGTCATTTTTTATATCATATGAATAAAAATGTTGATTTAGGCTAAAAATATTTAAACTTTTACATTTCGTGTTTTATCATTTAAAAGATATTTTTCTTAGCCTATTTTAATATTTTTGTTTATATATGGTAAACAACGACTCAGTTTGTTATCACGAGTCGCTATGTTCTATGTGTATATCATGTTATAAAATATATTTTTGTTCATATGTGGTAAACAGCGACTCAGTTTGTTATAACGAGTCGCTATGTACTATGTGTATATCATGTTATAAAATATATTTTTGTTCATATGTCGTAAACAGCCACTCAGTTTGCTATCACGAGTTGCAAATAAAGAATACCTTATTGTCTGTACTATTTATTACTTGTACTATGTGTATATCATTTTATAAAATATAATAAATGTGACTATCTTTAATAAATCTATTATGTCATTGAATGAGTCTTCCTCTAGGTTCGTGAAAGGGTTAGGGTCGCCTGTCCAACCTCATGGGTTTTCTCTGGGTCCTTTGATTTCCTCCCACTGCTAAAGACCCCTATGCGCAAGCGAATTATGAAAATAAAATTTAAACATATGTTAGTCCAGAAATGACCTAGTTTGTGTCGAGTGGACGTTAAACCCCATTTCTCTCTCTCTAGGTTCGTCTGTTTCCACCCACTTAGTGGGTTATTGAGATAAAGAAGTAATATGTTAGTCCCATAATGACCTGGTTGGTGTAGAATGAATGTTATCTGTCTCTTTCTTAAACGACCTGCTTACCCTTGTCAGTGATGCAGGATGGAGGACCAGCTTCTCTTGTCAGTGATTCAGGATGGAGGACCTGCTTACCCTTGTCAGTGATTCAGGATGGAGGACCTGCTTACCCCTGTCAGTGATTAAGGATGGAGGACCTGCTTACCCTTGTCAGTGATGTAGGATGCAGGATGGACGACCTGCTTACCCTTGTCAGTGATGCAGGATGGAGGACCAGCTTCTCTTGTCAGTGATTCAGGATGGAGGACCTGCTTACCCTTGTCAGGGATACAGGATGGAGGACCAGCTTACCCTTGTCAGTGATTCAGGATGAAGGACCAGCTTACCCTTGTCAGTGATGCAGGATGGACGACCTACTTACCCTTGTCAGTGATTCAGGATGGACGACCTGACAAGGAACACCGTGCCTAGTTGTTAGGATGTGATGGGAAAACAAATTCCTGTGCACATATTGGTGTGCGTGTAAAAGAACCCTTGACAGACAGATGGAAATGAAATGAAATAGGGTTTAACGTCCTACTGTTCTGCTCCTATACTGGGCTAATGAAGACGGGCATACATCATACAGTGTGCTATGATGGAAATTTTGCCCGGGCAGCGGCACTACCCCCTACTCTTATATCGAATTCCAACTACCAAGGGATTATTTACGTACATTCTAATGTATACACAGGACCTCGATTTTTCCTCTCATCCGAAGGACTAGACAGCTGTCCTTGTCAGGCCCTCCGTTCTGCACCACTGACAAGGGGAACCACATTAAGAGTAGGCTGTAGCACTGCTGTCTGATAACACTGAGGATTTCACGCATCAATCTCGTTACTTTTTAATTGGAATATACTCATTGTTACGATAATAAACAAAGTCTTGATTATCCATTTTTAAGTGAAAAAGATCCTTTGGCAGATGGAATTCGATATAGGTGTAGGCAGTAGTGGCTTTCCGGCAGTTACGGTAGAATTTGATAGAAGAGCAGGCCGTAGCGCCGCTGTTCAGGAAAAATTTCCCTTATAGCGTATGCCAGTCTTTATCAGCCCCAGTAGGAGCAGAACCGTAGGATGTTAGACCACATTTTATTGTCTGTCCCATACATGCAGCCCCTGATAACCGGGAGAGGGGGGGGGGGGTTAATAAATCCCTAGATCCTTCTAGAAAAACCCTAAGAGAAAGTGTCATTTAAGTACTAACATCTACATTTGAAATAATTCATACAAGGGTTTGGGTGGCGGAATGGTTAAACATGTGCAGGTAGCATCATTAGGTCTGTCATTGAGTCAAGTGGCGTGGTTTTGATTCCCTGCTTGTATGTGACAAGGTGTAGGGACACCTTTCCAACCTCGTGGGTTTTTCTCTGGGTTGTCCTGTTTCTTCCCACTTCTAAAGACCCCTAAACACGAGCGAATTAATAAAATAAAATTTAACCATATGTTAGTCCCAAAATGACTTAGTTTGTTTTAAGTGGAGTCGCAATTTTTCTTTTTTCTTCTTACTAAAGAAAAACTAGAAATACAGAGAGATGAATTGATATTTTATTTCTCCCATTATACATTTTTACAATCTCTAATTTTATATTCCTTCTTTCCTCTGTCACTCCATGTTGAAGATCAAAGAAAAAGAAGTTAAAATCAAGATATATATATATACACACCTGCCTACCCATTCATCAAATTAAAAAAATTATTTCTATCTTTCAAAATATTATACATGATATGAAGAGCCGTTTCTCAGTATCAAACCTTGTCCAGGTTATGCGAACCTTCAATCCGATTAAAATACAGATCTAAATCTCATTTTGGTTTTTTTTAATACTTTCGATGGCGTCCACTACATGAAGATCTGATCGGTTGTAGTGGAAGGTTGTGTCAGAGGTCATACAAGCAGCTTTTGACCCTATGACGTCAGACATGCTAACAACTCGCTGCAACAGACCGTTTAATTGGCTAATCCCTCACATCAACCAGAACGCAGGTTATATAACAACTCTTCCAGAGTAGTAAAGCCAAGTAAAATTCAAAACTATACAAAACAAAACAGAATAGGATCTGCGTTTTAATCAGATTGGCGAATCTGTCGCAAAACACAATTAACGCCTTAAGTTGTCTGGAGGTGATGGTTTTGGGTGTAACGGTACCTTGTGATAGACAGGTATTATCAGGGGACGAATCCAGGTGTAATCAGATATAAATATCACAGGTTGGGAAATGGTTCTTGATTTAACCACACATGTATAAAAAAAGTTGGAACAATTTTTACTTTCCTCATTGATCCCAGTTAAACACTCAATAATCCACCACAACATGAACACTGTATCAAATGTTACCATGACACCCTTAACAATGTATCAAAGGTTACCATGACAACAGTTTTCAAATGTTACCATGACAATCTCAACAGTGTATCAAATGTTACCGTGACAACCTTAACATTGTATATAATGTTACCATGACAATCTCAACAGTGTATCAAATGTTACCTTGACAACCTTAACATTGTATATAATGTTACCATGACAATCTCAACAGTGTATCAAATGTTATTATGACAACCTTAACATTGTATATAATGTTACCATGACAACCTGTGCAGAATGTTACCAAGACAACCTGAGATATTTTAACGGTCTTTCGATATACTTTTAACAATCAATTGCTATAACTCTTTGATTTGCGTTAAAAATAAAATCATTGATTTTATATGTTGATTGATTTTCCTTGTAGGGTGAGATCACCAGGAAAAAAACGATTTTTCCCCCCCCCCCCCCCCACTGTTGTGCTCAAATCTAAACTTCAATTTCCGTTAAAATAGAATAGAAATAATACACTAGACTAGATGATCCCAGTTCAATATTTTATTTTTACTTAAATCAAAGAGGTTCAGCTCTATAGTTTTATTTTAACAATCAGAGTTTCTTAATCATTATTATTATTATTATACATCATTTAAATATTATATATATATCTATGTAGATATAATTAATATATTCCTTGATAATATACAATATATATCATACTAAAAAAAACAATACATTTCATATTTATACCATATTCTCCCAGAATCCGTTCACAAATTAATTTCAACCTTGTTCAATTTAATTCCAATACTAGTAAGGATTATTCCATTTAAAATTACCTGGGGTCGAATAGGGAGTCAAATTTTTATACAACCCCGTTCCTATAAAATATGTACATCGTCAGTAAAACATGCAAAAACATACACAATATTTCTCAAGAATCCAGTCTTTTCTTGAAACCCCTCTACCATTGAATCATTTTAAAACATAAGAGTCTGTTCCCACTTATCCACCCCCTACAATTTCAAATGGAATAGACCTGAAGTAATTGGTGGACAGATCCTGGAATACACTATGCTCTTAATGTTTTAACAATTTATGTTAATTCAAACAAAATCGTCTCTTTTCAATCCTTTAGTTAACATAACTAGTACAAAGTAATTATTAAATTTATGCGCATATTTAATAACATAATTATACGTGATGTAATAATAAGCATCATGAAGAATGTTGAAATTATTTAATTTATGCACATATTTATGTAAAATAACTATCATGAAGAATGTTAAAATTATTTAAGTTATGCACATATTTATGTAATAATAACTATCATGAAGAATGTTAAAATTATTTAATTTATGCGCATATTTAATAACCTAATTAATTATATGTGATGTCATAATGTTAAAACTTTTTACACGTGAAATGTTGACAACACTATTCTATGAGAACAATATGTTGACAACACTATTCTATGAGAACAATATGTTTTTAATTCTAATCTTTAATCGGCCAAACTCTCATAAATCAGATGGATACAAAATCATCCAGAAATTCCTACATTGCTGCAATATTTCAAAACACTGCAAAATAATTCACTGACAATTCTGTCATCATTCCGGTCAACAACCTTCTTCTGATATTCCAACATTTTCACCATGTATGCTTGTCTTCATAAAACTGGTTTCCACGGAAAAGTAGGATGTTAAATCCCATTTCATTTCCTTTGCGGACTCGAAATCATGTTCCATGACACGATAAACAAAATAACTTTTGGACGATTTTTTTTTAATATATCCACTCAATGTTACAAATAGATTGGTTCAATTTGATGTACATGAAATTATTTCGATGTTTTTATTATTTGAATAATGGTATTAAAACGTGTAATGATCTGTTCATAGGAAATTATCTTCCATGACCGTACCAAGACAGTACAATCGTTTATTTGCCCTTCAACCCTGCTTCATGAAACAAATTTTCAATATATATCATATATTATATACAAAATTAAAATGACTTATTCTCACGGCCATCGATTTATCTTCTACAGAAATATACATGTCATTAGAATACATTTCAATACTGTTGCTCTTCAAATAAAGGCATCCTACTTTCATTTTATATCATTTACAATACATTCGGGTCTTAAACAGGATCTCTGTTTCAACATTCCGTCGGTCAGACATTTTTAGTTGGGGTTAACAAGGCCAGAATTATGTCACCAGAAGTCAGCTTCATGAAATAGGGCCAATAAGCTTCCATTCCCTTTAATAGACTTAAACTATAAATATGTGGCATAGCCTGTTCTAAATAATACTTATAATTACCCTACTTTCATTTTCTTATTATATGTCTCATAGATTTGTACTATATTAGGGTTTGCGTTTAAATGACCGGACTAGCCAGCCAGGTTTTGGTTGGGGCATGGCAGTAGCGTAATTTAATATCATGGAGAAAAGAGAGATGATAAAGTACAACATGTAGGTTGATATCGCAGACCATGTCGTGATCGTGACTGGTGGACATCAGCCTTAAGTATAACTATCATACACACAGTTTTATAAAACTTGAATACCTTCTAGTGAAACATGGCCTTGCAAACTGCGTAAGCGTCCAACAGCCCTGCACAATGTGTTTAGTGAAACCTGGCCCTGCACACTGTATTTAGTGAAACACGGCCCTGCACACTGTATTTAGTGAAACACGGCCCTGCACACTGTATTTAGTGATACACGGCCCTGTACACTGTATTTAGTGAAACCTGGCCCTGCACACTGTATTTAGTTAGATATGATAAAAATTAAGGTAATATTATATGTACAACTACCATATATTGAGGCTAACAATACTTTAAAGGGGAAACAATCCAAAATAAGACTTTCATCTTTACCAAACATTTCTCGATCCAAAAAGAATTCAAACGGATTAATCACAACTTATGTTCATTTGAAGTTTACATTGCTTAACATTGATTTTATGCTGTAATCTGCAAGTTGTTCATATATATCCACTAACATCAACACCAAGATATTATGAAAATTCCCTTTTTTCTGATTTTATCGTCAAAATTACTATTTAAATAACAGCCAGGACAAAAACAAAGGGTGGTCTGACACCCAAATTTTCTCCATAATTATGCTATTTTTCATTTCCTATCTGGCATTGTTGTCCCTTTAATGTAAAATGAAAGTAGTCTCATTTCATCTGTCATTGTTGTCCCTTTAATGTAAAATGAAAGTAGTCTCAATAATGATATTTAAAGCATGTGCTAGTTTAAAATTATTTCCACAACTACATAAATGATGTCATGATTTTTAACATTTTCATTTCATTCATTCATTCTCTCCTTCTCTCATTTCCTTCCTTCATCTTCAATTAATATCTGAAATAAGAAAAAATCAAAAATAATAGAATGGCACTTAAACTCAATCATCAATAAGACTCCTACCAAAAACTAAATGTTTCCATGACAACATACAAATGACTAAATGTGAGAAATTTCTAATTGGCAAAATTCATACAACTTGGCAGGTTGGTGTGTGTATAAAGGTATATGATGATATCCTGAACAGTTTATGAGATATGCTCAAGAAACAACATCGGGCCTGAAGAAAGGACAGAATTTATTTCAATATCTCTCTCTCAACCTCATGGGTGTATTCTGGGTACTCTGTGGATCTGACCGGAAGACATGACAATAGAGAGAAGCCTATGTAATTAGAATGGAGTATGAATATTCATTACTTGTCTCTATGACAACACTCATAACAATCTGCTTGTCATTGGCTGGGGATAAATATGAATATTCAATTTGGAGGAGTTTTTGAATATAAATTACAAGTTCATTCTTATTGGCTACACACATAGTGTGATTAACTACAAGTAAGATTTACAATTATAGATATCAGAGAGAGAGGGTTTAACGTCCAATCCACACAAACTAGGTCATATTGGGACTAACATATAGTGCTCCTACGGTTAGGACTTTTTGTTATTCGAATAGCCGTAGCTATTAACCGGTTAGTAATCGTTAACCGTATGGTATCAATTTCAAACATAAAACAGAGCTTGTCAGGAGCTACGAGTCATTACTCGTGCGCACGCTATACTCGCCTTATAAAAGGCATTACACGCGCAAAAATTTCAGGAATTTTTTCAGACATGAACAATTCTTTAATGAAAATTTAAACTATCTAAGGCCGTAGCTATTTATTTACCTGGTTAACTTGGTTCATTTGAAACATTTTTTTAATTCAATATAACGATAATATACAAAACAATACTCAATTTCCCTTCGTAAGTGACAGACGGCGATAATATTACGATTACACAATGTTACTAAGAATAGAATAAAGTAAATTAGAAGGCGTCTATTGATTGGACAATAAAGAAATAATTCCTCGCTTGCAAGTAGAATTTTTATGATTGGTTAATTTAACTGAAAACCAAAGTAGAATTCATTCGAGAAATTACGAGATATGAAACGTGTTCAATGCCGTAACGAATCTAGTATAATGTCATTTTCTAGCCTTTATGATTATATTTTGAATGGTGGTTACGTTTTGAAGTAAATAATAAACAAGGTAGAATATAGTTAGAAATGCCGAGAAGTATTTAGATTGGATTAACAATAGCAAAAGACGAACAAGGTCCGTTGACTTTGCCGTATGACTACGACGAGTGCTATTAATAGTATCATTGTTTAGCAGTCGACATCGTTGGACGACTGTTACATTCTAAAATTTTCAAACATCAAATACAAAATTACAACGGGCAAGTTTTGTTATAAAGAGGAATATAATCAGACACAACTCTATGTAATGGGGGACATCTCCGAATAACCGTACCGTTGAATTCAAACCGTTTAACCGTCCAGTTCTAACCGTTTACGGCTATCCGACTAGTCGTAGGAGCACTACTAACATATGGTTCAATTTTATTTCAATAATTTGCTTGAGTGCAGGGGTCTTTAGCAGTGGGAGGAAACACGGAGGACCTGGCACCCCAAACGAATCAAAACCATGCCAGTTGACTCAATGACAGATCTTATGATATAACGTGCACAGGCTAACCATTTGGCCATCCAACCCCTGCATATCATAAAGTGAGCCAAAAATGTAAAATGTTTATAAGTGGCATTTTTTTCTGTCTGTTAGGCGTATGAAACTTTTCATGTTCATGAACAATATCAAAATTCTGAGTCACTTATCAATTATTTGCAGAGTTATTGCACTTGTCATCAAAAATCAAAAACTGGATGAGTTTATGAATATTTTAGTTGTTTACGAGGAAGGTTAAAAAGGGTCTGTTTTATTCAGCTCTAAATGTCTTACCTATAATAGTTAGGTTTGAAAGGGCCGGCTTTATTCAGTCCTAAATATTTGGCCTGATCATCTGACAACTCCGTTAAATGGGCGTCAAATGTTGGCAAATGTAAACTGGCGACATATTCATCTATAAAACAAAATATAATCATATTTACTCAACACTGCTAGTAAAAGGAAACACTTGTCTTATCTAGACGGATCATTTTAAATTACACAACAGTAGAAACAATATTTTAACAAAATGCCAACCCTGGTTTGAAACTAAACATTAAATACAGAAACTCCTGATAAAACAACACAACTAAACGATTCCCGAGCTGTAGTGTAAGCACGTTCTGGTGGTCCATTGGTATGTCTAATTAAAGTTACAATTTCATATTTTCTAAGAAATTATAGAAAATAATTATTTCTATGTCTTTTGCTCAATAGGTTATCAACTCACTATTATACGATCATAGGTGTCATTCTCACACTTAAAACTCATTTACACCGGAAATAATAACACAATTACCTCCCCTGTTTTCTATTCTCCACCATGGAGTAGCTTTTTTCAACGTTTGAATTTGAAGAGGAAAATGATATTTTTGCCAATTTCTCAACTGGCAATAGTGAATTATAGGATTAATAGGATTAACAAGGTACGACTGTTTATAGATACCATCTATTTTAAGGCTTTATTTAAATAAATTTTAAAAATATAACGTAAAAATATGAAATTGCAACTTTAACCTTCATATCTGGCAAAACTCGTCCGTAAAACGGAATATCAGTTTCCACTGATAAATTAGCTTCCATTGACTTCACGACCCAAAGCAAAAACGTGAATAATTTATTTTAAATTCTTCCTGTACGATCCACGAGTTTTTTGTTTAGAGAAATACCCAGGAAAGTTCATAGTTAAACTCTGTTTAGAGAAATACCCAGGAAAGTTCATAGTTAAACTCTGTTTAGAGAAATACCCAGGAAGGTTCATAGTTAAACTCTGTTTAGAGAAATACCCAGGAAGGTTCATAGTTAAACTCTGTTTAGAGAAATACCCAGGAAGGTTCATAGTTAAACTCTGTTTAGAGAAATACCCAGGAAAGGTTATAGTTAAAACTCAAATAATGAAAAGATTAAAAACTTTACGAACCCATCTTTTTAGGTAAGAGATAAACATCTTGTTTATAACGACCTTGTGGTGCGTTAAATAATTCTATTAGAGCTAACGCCTGTAATATAAATACATGTTTCACCATTATTATACATATTTATATCTCAGAGAAATGAAATCAGGTTCTGCTCTGAATGGGCTAATGAAGACAGGCAAATACCATATAGAATGAAATGAAATGAGGTTTAATGTCCTACTGTTCTGCTCTGTGACTGGACTAATGAAGACGGCCATATTACAGAGAAGTCGACAGAGTAAAATGAGGTTTAACATCCACTCGGGATTGACATACGGTTCAATTTCATTTCAATAATTTGCCTGCGCGTAGGGGTCTTAATGGCAGGTGACCCTACTCCTTGTCACATACAAACGTTTAAACCAGGCCACTTGACTCAATGACAGACCTCATGATACAACACACACTCGTTAACTATTCGGCCATCAAACCCCCAAGCAGACAGCTGAAACCCAAGGACCCGGAGAAACCCACAAGGTTGGATTAAAAGAGAGAATCCTACCTGTGTAGTGGCTGTTATTGATACAACAAAAGATGGAACAGAAGAACAGCTTAGATTAACCAGACGGCCCTGTAACATAAACAACAGTTGAAATATCTATATAGCCAAAATTAACCAGATACCTCATATGGTAACAGATCTAGCGTCCCATGTTCCGTTTCCCTCCCTCTGGCATCAGATGTAACTTGCCAACACCTGTTCCATTTCCCTCCCTCTGAAACAGATCTAGTCACCAGCACCTGTTCTGTTTCCCTCCCTCTGGTAACAGATCTATTCGCAAACACCTGTTCCGTTTCCCTCCCTCTGGTAACAGATCTAGTCACCAGCACCTGTTCTGTTTCCCTCCCTCTGGTAACAGATCTAATCGCCAACACCTGTTCCGTTTCCCTCCCTCTGGTTAACAGATCTAGTCACCGGCACTGGTTTCGTTTCCCTCTCTCTCTGGTAACAAATATAGTCACCAGCATCTGTTCCGTTTCCCTCCCTCTGGTAACAGATGTAACTTGCCAACACCTGTTCCATTTCCCTCCCTCTGAAACAGATCTAGTCACCAGCACCTGTTCTGTTTCCCTCCCTCTGGTAACATATCTATTCGCAAACACCTGTTCCGTTTCCCTCCCTCTGGTAACAGATCTAGTCACCAGCACCTGTTCTGTTTCCCTCCCTCTGGTAACAGATCTAATCGCCATCCCATGTTCCATTTCCCTCCCTCTGGTATTAGATCTAACTTGCCAACACTTGTTCTGCTTCCCTCCCTTTAGTAAAAGATCTAATCGTCAGCACCTGTTCCGTTTCCCTCCCTCACGGTTTCTGTTTCCCTCCCTCTCGGTTTCTGTTTAGTAATCCATGTTAAGGCCGATCACTCAGTTTTTATAATGATTCTGGTTGAAAAAGACTACTATACCTCTGCCAACATGATGATTCTTTTTCCATCTGGCCAAATGATATGATCAACTTGAGAACGTACTTTTTCCCACGTCAATTCTGGGGTTCGTAAACTGGCCTGAAATAAACAAAGAATCAAAGATTTTTAATTTGTAAACATTTCACAAATACAAGATAAAAAAAAGGTTATTTTGGGACTAACATATGGTTTAATTTGTTTTCAAAATTTCGCTTCCACAAAAAGGTCTTTAGCAGTGTAAGGAAATCTGAGGACCCCGAAAAACCCTTGTCATATACAAGCTGGGAATCGAAATGATGTCACTTGTTATTTCCAAAATCAAGTGTTTAAATATTCAAAAACATAAGGCACCTGTCAAAGACACCGGCAACAAAAACTGCGTCAAATTTGTTTCCAAATTAGGGGGGGTTGGATGGCCGAATAGTTGGCACGCGCATGTTGTATCATACGGTCTGTCATTGAGTCAACTGGTGGGGTTTCGATTCCCCGGTTGTATGTGACGAGGAGTAGGGTCGCCTGTCCAACATCGTGGGTTTTCTCTGGGTCCTCTCGTTTCCTCCCACAGCTAAAGACCCCTACGCGCAAGCGAATTATTGAAATAAAATTGAACCATATGTTAGTCCCGAAATGTTCTAGTTTGTGTCGAGTGGACGTTAAACCCCATTTCTCTCTCTTTCTCTCTGTTTCCAAATTGGAAAAATTTCTACTAATAGCTTGATATTCTCAAAGATATGATCCAGAAACATGACTTAAAGACAAGTCTGGACGAAACAGGTTTCATATCATTCAATGAAATTCGTTCGGCGCTGGAAGACAGAGCTTACTTTTACTTACCACATCTATTTCTGTATTAGAATGTCCCATATTACAAACAATGCAGCCATTTTTTAAACGATCAAGATGTTGTCTGGTGACAACATTCTTATTACCTGTATTTAAAATAAAATATATGTCAAAGATAGAAGAAACTAGTCTCAACTTCCACTTATAGGATACCTTTACAGGATACCCAGTCAACTAGGTAGTCTACCGGGAAACCCAGCCAACCAGGTAGTACACCAGGAAGACCCAGCCAACCAGGTAGTTCACCAGGAAGACCCAGCCAACTAGGAAACCCAGCCATCTTAATGATTAAGAAAGCAAATACAAAGCTAAAGGCTAGTGATTACAGATTACAGATACAGAAACCAGGGGGATGATGTTGGTTTTAAAAAAACGTGAGGAGGGAAAAAATAGAAAAAGTAAAAATGTACCATTTACCTACGGGGCAGTATAGATCAATGAAATTTCAATTCAACATAATTCTGGAAATACTGATTGAAATTGAAGTATTTTTGGACTGATATTTCTATTATAGATTCAACATTTACAATATTGTAGTTTGTACGGGATTCCGGTAAAATCAGGCTCTTCTATTTAATGACCTCCCTGTTGCTCTTATTTCTGTTTTTTTACGGAAAATAAAACCAGGGTAACACAAACAAGGTTGTGAATAAATTTATACAAGTAAAACTTTCTTCTCTACCTGTACAGGTAATTAATATATCCTCTTACCTGTACATGTAATTAATATATCAATCTGACGAATAACTTCATCTAATTTGACAACACGGAATCCATCCATACTGAAATATAAACCATAATATTAAATGAAATGGGGTTTAACATCCTACTTCGACTGGGCTATAATAAAGACGGGTATACGCCATACAGTGTGCTAATGAGGTAAATTTTGCTTTGATAGCGGCGCTACGGCCTACTATTATATCGAATTCCATCTGTCAAGGGATCGTTTATATGTTCACAGGATCTCACTTGTTCATCAAATTCTTGTCCGTCACAACTGACAAGTGGAAACCACGCTGGAAAAACCAGTGGCACTTTCTCAGAGAAGACATGATGTTATCGAGTCAGCGACATACTGACTGAGTCATAACAACAGAGGGGGGAACAAGTCATGTGACCTCTACTCTGAGTTAAGTCCCAGGTCGCCGCACATCGAGTTCCAAGTCGCTAACTTTAGTACCAAGTTTTGTCGAGTCTCAAGTCTTCATAAAGCCCGAGTCTTATTCAAGTCGCCAGTTCATCAAATGAGTCAGTAATTCATGTCGAATAAGGTAAGTTAAGAGTTATGCTTCTTCACTCGCAAAGTCTCGGGTCAAGTCGAGTCGCAAGTCGTCTCATTAATTTTAATACTGGCCCACTCCATACTGGTTTTCTACTAGATGATGAATACTTACCAAGCTTGTAAAGCACAAATTGGGTCAATTTCTGTCACATTAACGATAGCACCAAGACCTTTTAAAGCTGCTCCACAACCTTTACCAACCTGAAATCAACAATAGATCATTCTCAACTCAAGCAATCTCATTAATACTGATTCTGAATCATTTCTTTATTAGATGATTACCTAATTTAATTCTTATCATGTGGTTCTCAGAACTGGGGATAAACATTCGAAGCAAACAGACACACAGAGGTTAACATCCACTTGACACAAACTATGTCATTTTGGGACTAACATATGGTTTAGTTTTATTTCAATAATTCGCTTGCACGTAGGGGTCTTTAGCAGTGAGGAATCAAAAGCCCAAGGTTGGGAACCAGTGTTCTAAATGTACTTACCTCTCCATAACCACAAATTAAAACTTGTTTCCCACCAAACATTACATCCGTTGTTCGTTTTAATCTATCAATAGAAAAAAAAATACAAAAATCAAATACAGATATGTGAATTAAAAAAACATCAACAAACTTCAAATCAATAAATCATTTCTCATAAGTCAGTGTTAGAAATATATTTGGAAAAAAATTTGATTAAAAAATTCTATAAATGTATTTATTATTTTTAAATTCAAAGCGAACAGAGATTCAAATGATCATTAAAGAAAATTCTGCTGGTCTAAAATTAATTTAGTTTTTAAAAACCATTTTAACACGTAATAATATTTTTCCTGTGGTTTCAAACGGATCTGAAAATAAAATCATTATTTCCTGAAAACACAATACATTATATACAATATATTGACCTTCACCTTGTTAAAATTTGACCTTTCACCTTTGTTAATCATTTGGTGTTGCAAAAACCTTATTTTAAAGTCCTTTATCAAATCTAGTGGTTTCAGTCATTTTATATTCATATATCGCAGTTTTACAAAAGTCTAGCAGTAGTTGTCTCCCTTTATACTTGATACCCACGAACCAGTCCCTGCTTGATTTGTCCATACCAGCACATATCGGCTGACCACATTTCAGTAGTTTCCGCAGCAAGATGACTTGATTTAACCGGAAGTCAATTAAAGTCCAGCTGTGGCGTACGCCGAATCCACCACTCTGGCGGCAGTGGCAATTACCGGCGCAAGATGTTGAACATGTCATTGAGATAAAATTCACGTTATTTAGGAATGCCATAAAACACTAATTTTAAAGTGCTAAAATTAATCCAAATATTTCAAAGTTGAATTGGAGCTTTGCAAAACTAGATGTTCATATGTCCTTTATTTTTGTTATCAGTAATATTACTAATAATCATTTTCTGCTTATTTTGCGGTCCCTTACTGATAGTCATACTTTCAAGAATAATATTTTTGATTAAAATATGTCATGTATTATAATATTATTCGACACCACGCCCATATTGTTTATCAGCCGGCCGGGTCACTTGATTTGCTTTGATACGGTAACCTGATGGGCGTACGCTATGCAGAACCCTAGTGGACAAATCAAGCAGGTCCATTGATGAGTTAATGTAGTCATGACAACGATTACTATATACTGCCATATATGGTATCTGAGGACAGTAAAATAAGGTTTGTGAATGAAAGTTAAAGAGTATGAGCGAAACACTTACGCATCCAAAATGCTCTCTCTACAGCTATATAGATTATCGAACTTCGTCTAAAAAAATAAAAAACACGACTGCCACAATTTGTTGGCATAGCGACGGGGTGGTAGGGAGAAGGGGATCACATTCACTACATTCGCTCATTGGTTAAGACAACTTTTTCTTTCCATATTGATCAAACTTTTTATTTTTCAATTTGTTTGTTTACATTTTTTATTTATAAAATAAATCACCAAAAATTCAAGATTACGATGTTTTGGGTTATTTTATATCCATTTTTTGGGGGGACAAAAAGTTGAATTAAACCAAGGTAGCAAATCTAGTGAAAAAGAACTCCTCACCTCTCTAGAACGACGTCAGATTACAGGTCATGATTCAATCTCATCTTTAATTTCATATCCAAAATAAATTGAAACGAAGAAATCTCTACCCCCCCCACCCACCCCCCAATAACCAGTTAACCAAAACACAGGCCTAAAATCACAGTATCCAATGACAACATTTCAACTCAATATGTATCTTTTGGGACTCATTGTTATTGGGGCAGAAGCACTTCAAAAAGTGATTTGAAAGACGATTTATACCCTGATCATATTGACTGGTGTTACGATTTATCGTATAGGCTGTTCAGACGCTTACGTTAAACTGGTATAAAAAAACATCCACAGAGCCCTAAGCCAGCTGTAGTTACATCAATGGAATACAAAAGTGGGGCTAACAAACTAGTTTAAAAAATCTAGTTTGTTATCTGTCTTTTCGAAAAGCTGGCTTTTTGGTGACCATCTGAATGCGTCAGCATATAAACAGAGCATGCACAGTAAAGTTAACTTTATGACTCAATGACAACATGTGCATCTGGGTGATTAACTCAAACCTCTAAAAAGACAAGGCCAAAATAGTTAAGAGAGAGAGAAATGAGGCTTAACATTCACTTGACACAAAGTAGGTCATTTCAGGACTAACATATGGTTCAATTTTATTTCGCTAATTCGCTTGCGTGTAGGTGTCTTTAACAGTGGGAAGAAACCGGAGGACGCAGAGAAAACCCACGAGGTTGGACAGGCGACCCTACTCCTTGTCACATACAACCAGGGAACCAAAATATTTAAACTAGTTCAACTATTAGAGATTTGACTAGTTAAACTTGCTGCGATTAGTATATCTTAAAAGTTTTATTCCACTGGCTTAAAAACTCTGGTGTTTATCTAAACTGGTTTAACTTTTAAGCGTGTGAACAACCAAAAATAGTTTAAATTTAAAATTGTATGAAAATCTCAAGACAGCAGGAGAAGACGAGGCATATAGAAGTAAGTTTTATTCACCTTTGTAACGGAATCGTTGACATTCATGGCAGGAACGGAAAGTTTACCCGATTTGGAGAGTTGATATAATCGGTGTACGCCCGTCACGCTTTCTTCCACGATACCTTTTATCATGTTAAACATGGCTGGATATTTCTTCAACATAAGATGAGTTGCGTCCCCTCCATCATCCAAAATCTGAAATATAATTAAATGAAGATTAACGTTTTACTTTTCTGCATCGACTGGGCTAATGAAGACGGCCATACGCCATAAAGTGTGATTTTAGGGAAATTTGGCCCAGACAGCAGCGCTACGGCCTACTCTCGTTTCAAATGTCAAGGGTTTCTTTTTCGTGTACACCAATGTGTAGATTGGACCTCCGTACTGCACCACTGACCCGGAAACGTTCTCGTCCACGAGAAAACTCGAGACTTCCCAATCTGATTAAAGATCTGGCCTACACTACATGAAGATCTGAACAGTTGTTTTGGGAAGTTGTGTCAGAAGTCATACAAGCGGCTTTTGACCCTATGACATCAGACATTTGATTAACCAATCAGCATTGATGTTTCTAGTGGATTGATTACCCACAGGTCTGTGTACCTCACGCCTAAAGCTCGCCGTAACAGACTACTGTGTCATTGGCTAATCCCTCACATCATCCAGAACATGTCAATGATAACAACTCTTCTAGATCCTAGTGTTGTAAAGACAAGTAAAAGGAAATTTTGGACTATAAAAAACGAAACAAATTAGGATGTGTGTTTTAATCAGATTGGAGACTTCCATGCTAGCGAGCCAGTGTATTATTATATCTTACCATATTTGGTTGCCATCCTTCGGCGTTGACACATTTATCAATTGACCACCAGAAATCTTCTTCAGTTTCTCCTTTCCACGCAAAGATTGGTTGACTATTTTCAGCCAAGGCAGCGGCTACTTCATTCTACAATTATAACAAACAAATATAGATGAACGTCAGGCATTCTAATATACGAACCAGCATCAATATCGTCCATGTTAGCTTTTTAACAACAGGCTTTCTAGCATCATATTTATATAACCCTTTAGTATATGTAAATATTGTCTACCCCAGTTCTATAAAGCAAATTAGAGAAAGATAGGTTGCCAGGCAACAAAACATACACCCACAGCAGCTAATTCGTCCGCCAAGTCGACACGGGTTATCCAATATTTATTATTTTGTAGGCAATTTGGACAGTTACAAGACAATTTCATACAGATCAGATTATAATTTTTGTTGTTTGCGGGCTCACAAGGTTCTACAAACAGAAACAAGGGCCTTAACTCCAGAAGAAATAAACAGAAATTATTGAAATTAAATAGGCTTCTTCGTCTCACTGACTTAAACAACATATATCAATTTTAAAACAATTGGATGATAAATATAGACTATAGGGTGCTCACAAGAAATTGTTGTACGACAGACTTACGTACAGACGGACGGGGGCGATGGTAATATACAACCACGTTTCTTAACCTGATTTATTGTCTTCAAGTAAAAATTTACTCAAAATAGTTCGTCTTATTTTAACTAAAATATAGCCCTTTATAAAACTTTTGTTGTTTTAATATATCAAATACATCAATAAGATACTATGTGCAATGTTTTGTGTTTCTGGATCAGAGATATTTCTCATAAACAGTGATTGAAAGTTGAGTAAATTCTTAACTTAAGTCTGAATATGCTTCATTATTATTCTCAAACTTAATTTAAGAATTTATTCAAATTGTTCGCCTTATTTTAACTAGAATATAGCCCTATATAAAATTGAAAGTTGAATATATTCTAAACGGAAGTCTGAGAATGGTTTGTGGAACCAGCCATGTTTATTATCTAGTTCTGGAACAGGAGACAAGTATTTCCAGAGAAAACAATCGAGCTTTATAAACTTCTATTTTTAGACTTGATAATAGAAGTGTCTGAACTTCAATAATAATTACTTTTATTTTATTTCTCTCTCAGGCAGTTCAATCAATTTTTTGTGAAGATATTTCCACGTTCTACCTAAATTGATTATTTTCTTCACAAGCTGTCTCCAATATTCATTCCTGACTTTTATTAAGAAACAGGAAAATAAAATGGGGTTTAACGTCCTACTGTTCTGCTTTGACTGGGCTAATGAAGACTGGCTTACACCATACAGTATATGCTATGAGGGGAATTTTGCCCGGGCAGCGGCAATATGACCTACACTTATTTCGAATTTCAATTGTCAAGGGATCTTTTATTTGTGCCAATGTGTACATGGGACCTCAGTTTCCTGTCCCATCCGAACAACTAGACAGCTGTCCTTGTCAGGCCCTCCGTCCATCCTGCACAACTGACAAGGGAGAAACGACGCCAGGAAATCCCAATAAACTTGCACAGCCAAGATAACGTGTCTGCTATAAATACTAATAAAAGAAGAATAAGACCACGCCCTTTTCTGTATATGCCATATAGGAATTCATCATACACATAACAAGAAGAATTTAAACAATTCGTAAACATCTTTTTCCATTTTAAGATCAATACAGTTTCCAATCATCAATTATTACCTTTTAAGATCAATACAGTTTTTTCCAATAATTATTACCTTTCACGAGATCAATACAGTTATTTCCAATAATTATTACCTTTCACGAGATCAATACAGTTTTTTCCAATAATTATTACCTTTCACGAGATCAATACAGTTATTTCCAATAATTATTACCTTACTATTAATTCTCTCGTCCTGCTCATTTCATTTTAACGTTTATTAAACCAGAGTAGTGAATAGCAGATCAATGTTACACGTTTAATAATCTCGCGTTCAATTTAATTTGATAGTTTGCGGAGAAATAACGAGACTTGTTAATCTTATATCAATGAAATGAAAACATTTGTCGATTACATCACGCGTCTGGTCTGGATGATCTAACCTTCAGATCAATCAATAGGACGTTTGGCATAGTTTGAAATGAAACTGTGGTTCCAACATTGATGCGAGTAGAAGTTATTGTTCCTAGCTTGAACCATTCAAATTATCTCCGGTTTAACGTTTTACTATTCTGCTCCAACTGGGTTAATGAAGATGGGCATACGCCATTTGTCCCGACAGGGGCACTATGACCTACTCTTATATCGAATTCCAACTGCCAAGGGATCTTTTATGAGCACACCAATCTGTACACAGGACCCTAGTTAACTGTCCCGTCAGAATGCCTATACAATCTTGTCCCTTGTCAGGCCCTCTATCTTCACTGAAAAGGGGGAACCACTCCAGAAAATCCTGATAAACTTTCACGGCCAAAAGTATTTCCTCAGTTGTGTCTCTCAAGAGAGAGAAAAGGGGTTTAACATCCACTCAACACAAACTAGACTATTTCAGGACTATCATATGGTTCAATTGTATTTATCACTCGGAGGAAACTGGAGAACTCGGAGAAAAACGATCTGAGCCGGGAGCCAGTTGTTAGCGTTTACTGCACTGTACAGTCCTGTAATGATACAGGTTTCACTCAAAATGGGCTTCTTCATCTCACTAATGTAAACAACATATATCAATTTCAAAACCATCAGTTTATAAATGTAGTCTGTAGAGTGTTCACAAGAAATTGTGAATGACAGACGTACATACGTACGGTTGTGATGACAGCAATATATGACCACATTTGCATGTGAGCATATAAAAAGTAAAACAAAAAACGAAGCACACGAAAGACCAAACATAATGCGACCTATCTTGACAGTGGTTGTCTGTTGAATAACGATAGTCTGTCTGTTGATGTCATCAAACAATTTTAACAATAAGGACAATAATCTGGATAGAATCTTGGGAAACGCTAAAGAAATAATAAAGTGTAGTGATCATACAGGAGCAACGAGAAGTCTGCAGTACGAAGGGCTAAAACTCTAGTAAAAGGGAGATAATAATAAAAGGGAGATAACTATACCTGTGTGGAGTAGATGTTACAAGCGGCCCATCTAATGGATGCTCCTAGTGATATTAACGTCTCGATCAAAACCTGTAATATACAAAATTTTACGATTAACATCTGTTACAATTTTATTTCAATAATTTGTTTGTTTGTAGGGTGTTTTAACAGTGGGAGGAAACTGGAGGACCCGGAGAAAAACCCAAGGTCAGACAGACGACCTTGACTCAATGATCGTTCGGTACTAAAATATTATAAATTCATTTCAATAATTTGATTGCGCACAGAGATCTTTAGCAGTGGGACCGTGTTGACTGTGAAAGCTACTTTCAGTGTGGTTCTGCAGGATCAAGGGCTTGGCAAGAGACAACATATAGTTATTCGGATGGGACGGAAAACCTAAGTTTCGTGCAAGTAAAAGAGCCCTTGACATTTAGAATTTGAAATAAAAGTAGGATGTAGCGGCGCTGTCAGGGCAAAATTTCCCTCATAGCCCACTATATGGCGTGTATTAACCCAGTCCGAACAGATGAGTAGGACATTAAACCCCATTTCATTTCATTTCTTATCATTAATGGCTAACACATAACATAAACAAGCCAAACTTTCACGGATCATGGGCAACATTTAAAATCAATTTTACCAAACAATGATCATTGACTATGGTAATGTTGTTTTAAACAGGTACTGGTAGAAATCAATCTAGAAGTGATTGTATAATAGCCGAGTTTCAATTCATTACATCATGTATAATCAATTGGTGATGAAAATAGACCGTCTGCTCAATGTGACTGGCATACCAATGGACGACTTGCAATAAGTTATTTATAGTTTGCTAAATTTTATCCATCATTGATAGTGAGTCTGTAACACAAGTTGTGGCCTTCAGGCAGTGATCAGTGGAATCGGAACAAGTTAAATATAAGATACTTCCAAAATAGAATCTTTATATAAACCTGTCACAATAACACAGTTGTTTACTAATTAAACTCGCAGGACGGGACAGGACAGGATAGGGAGAGAGATAAATGGGGTTTAACGTCCACTCGACACAAACTAGGTCATTTCGGGACTAACATATGGTTTAATTTTATTTCAATAATTCGCTAGCGCGTAGGGGTCTTTAGCAGTGGGAGGAAACCTGAGGACCCAGAAAAAACCCACGAGGTTGGCCAGGCGACCCTACACATTGTCACTTACAACCGGGGATTCAAAACTCTGCCAGTTGACTCAATGACAGACCGTATGATACAGCGCGCGCGTGCTAACCATTCGGCCATCCACAGAATAGAACTTGACATTATAGACAAAGCGGACTTATACATTGCACAATATTTAAGAAATATGAAAGTCGAAAAAGAAAAAATCTGCAGAATAATTCCATCAGTCTACCGGGAATAGATTTGCTCAGATCTTTAATAGCTTGCCGCGGCATTTGATGGGATAATTTACGTAGTTTGACATGCAACTATTATAAGCTTATTGATTGGTCGGTTATGATGCTGCCTTACGTCAAACTTAATGAACAAGTTTGCACAAAATCTTTACATGTAAAACAAATAATGCGTAATACTCCAATACATCAAGAAATTCTGACATCTTTGATAATGTCACGTCAAAGTCCCCTTTTAGTCGATAAAACCTAAAAGCCCTGGGAATCTTTACATGAAAACTTTCATGATACATTATTTAAGATCATGTTTCACAAGGCATTCTCAGAATTAAAGTAGCCAAGTCTCTAACTCAATATCATCAAGTCTTCAACATTGAAAACGCGAATTATTTGTCATTTTAAATCAACATTGATGTTGTGATCTTAGCGGGAAAAAGGGAGGCTTCTGATATCCAATATTTAAGACAAAATAAACATTTTACCATTGGCAGACGTATTGTGTACCATAATGCGTTTCAGTGCCATTTGTAACAAGGGACTAGAAGAATGAGGCTAGACATATTCCACGAGTCATGTCAAACGGTGACGCCATATTCCTATCTGGAGAGCATGCACAATAAATAGTAAATACTTCAGTTCATATACATTCATATTACATTATTATATGCGTTGCTACCCACATGTTCATTTGTAGGTGCCAAATATTCGCTCCTTTAAGTTAAGAATTTGATCAAAATTGTTCGCCTTTTTTTGTTTTAATGTAACAAATACATCAATGTCCAAATGTTTGTGCCTCTTGATCAAAGATATTTCTTATAAAAGGTACTGGTAATTAAAAGTTGATTAAATTATTAACTTAAGTCTAAGAATGCTTTGTGAAACCGCAACCTGGCAGTTTGTTCTATATAGTTCAAAAATAGATAACGAAAAATGAATATATCGAATAATTTCATTCATAATACTTTATTCTGAAGCAAGTTATGGGTGTAGGGACCAAGTTTCGATTATCCATATTGAAAAATTTCATTCAAATAAATTCCTTTATTCGGAGCGAAGTAATCCATGTTATCATTCAATTTTAAAATCGCGAGTGTTCAAATCCATTCAAATCTCGGCCATCTGATGGTCTAGAGAGTTAATTATGAGCTTGCCGTGTGAATAAACGTCTGAATAATAATTTATATACCAGTAACATTTGAAGCCAAACTGAAGACATACAATAGGTAGATTTAGCTCGTACATCATGATACTTTAATACTTTCCATTGGCTGACAGTTCAAAATCTAACATTACATATGGCATGAGAGAGAGAGAGAGAGAAATGGGGTTTAACGTCCACTCGCTACAAACTAGGTCATTTCGGGACTAACATATGGTTTTTAATTTTATTTCAATAATTCGCTTGCGCATATTGTCACGTACAACCGGTTATTCGAAACCACGCCAGTCGACCCAATGACAGACTTTATGATACAGTGCGCGCACGCTAACCATTCAGCCATCCAACCCACCAATATGGCATGAAATGGGGTTTGAAATAAATATGTAAGGAAAGGAAATGAAATGAAATGGGGTTCAACTTCCTACTGTTCTGCTCCGACTGGGCTAATGAAGACAGGCATACACCATACAGTGTGCTATGAGGGAAATTTTGTCCGGGCAGCGGCACTATGACCTATCGAATTCCAACTAACTGCCAATGTGTACACGGGCCCTCAGTTTTTTGTCCTGTTCAAGCAACGAGACAGCTGTCCTTGTCAGGCACTCCGTCAGGCACTACGTCAGGCACCACTGACAAGGGGAAATGGGTTTAATATCCTACTTTCCTCCCCGGTCCAATCAAGACGGGCAAGCGGCATGCAGTGCTCTTAAGTGGGAGATTTGGCCTATTTTTCATCGTATTCCAATTACCATGGGTTCAGTTTTTTGGACCACGCCCTTCCCTAAGGCCTATTTTTTTTATTAATTGCCATGGCTGTCGAGGCCGTATTATTTAAGGAATATACGATACCGATTGCATCCTATCCTCAGGTAATTGGTTGGACATGATTGGTAGCCATGATTAACAAGTATCAGATCTGACAAGTAATGATTGGTAGCCATGATTAACAAGTATCAGATCTGACAAGTAATCTAAATGTTATGTTGGACGTGACATCAAATGATTACAGTCTGTTGTATATTTATAACCTTCCAATATGATCTCATCTATATTCCTGATTATCACACAATGCATTTGATGTGTTTTTAATGATCATTCTCCAGAGATTTTGAGATATGATCATGGTTGTCAATTACAAGATGAAAGGTAATTCTGTGGGGGAATCAGAGGGAGAGAGAGAGAGACAGAGAGAGAGAGAGAAAGAGAGAGAGAGAGAGAAAGACAGAGAGAGAGAGAAAGAGAGAGAGAGAGAGAGAGAGAGAGAGAGAGAGAGATTAACATCCACTTGACACAAACTATGTCATTTTGGGACTAACATGGTTCAATTTAGAGAGAGAGAGACAGAGAGAGAGAGAGAGAGAGAGAGAGAGAGATTAACATCCACTTGACACAAACTATGTCATTTTGGGACTAACATGGTTCAATTTAGAGAGAGAGGGGGAGAGAGAGAGTTTAACGTTCATTCAACACAGCTTGGTCATTTCGAGACTAAAATGGTTCAATTTTGTACATAAGGGTCTTTAGCAGTGGGAGGAAACCTGAGGACCTGGATAAAACTCAGCAGGGAATGGAATCCACGCCACTTGACTCAGTGATAGAACTTATGATCTTGCGTGTACGCATAAAACCATTCAGCCACCCAAAACCACTAGAGGATTAGAAGAAGAAGAAGAAGTTGGGCAGGTGTTGTTCAAAACAATATTTTTTTATTTTAGAAAGGCAATGGTTGTGAGGTCATGTAAGGTTGCTAAGCAATGGTTGCCAAGTGATATCATCATGTGACATTATATTCTGATAATGATTTTATATACTTACGGCAGTTTGTGCTGTGATATGTGTACAACCAATAATTTTAGCTCCAGAAAGAGGCTTGTCAGATTCAGCCCGTCTACGTAGAGCCATCAGTCCGGGCATTTCTAAAAAAAAAAAAAAAATTGTTCATTAAAACCAGACAAAGCTGGACCAGGTGAAGATGGAGGGGAAAGGGGGGTTATTACTCTAAGACTGCTACTGACAGTTCACTCATCACAGAGAGAGAGAGAAATGGGGTCATTTCGGAACTGACATATGGTTCAATTATATTTCAATAATTCACTTGCATGTAGGGGTCTAGCTGTGGGAGTAAACCGGGACCTGGGGAAAACCCTATGAGAATGGACAAGCGACCCTACTCCTTGTCACATACAAGCAGGAGTCGAAACCATGCAACTTGAAGCAAGGACAGACCTTATTGTCAAAAGCATTTAAAAATTTGGCCAAACACCCCCCCCCCTCCCTTTACACGCATAATAAATCCATCGCCAACGACAATCAATGTGACATAAAAACATGATACATTTCTGACTCAAACCATTTTTCTACAATTGGTTTAATAGTAAAAAGCAAGAGGGGAATTTTGACCAAGGACCGACCATCTTGAAACAATTATAAACTCTACTTGAAAAGTTTTGAGTACATTACATAATTTTTGGTGTAAAATAATTAGAACCTACCTTGCTCTGCAATTTCAATTTCTCGTCGACCAAAAGCAGCATGGTCGATATTTTTAACACAGAAATCTGTAAAACCTTTGGTTGTTCTCTGTAAAAAAACGAAAAGAAGATGAGTTTGGGAAAATGTCAAATCATCAGTTAAATATCAAGATATTAAAATAAAATGGGAGAGAGAGAGAGAAATGGGGTTTAACGTCCACTCGACACAAACTAGGTCATTTCGGGACTAACATATGGTTTAATTTTATTTACATAATTCGCTTGCGCGTAGGGGTCTTTAGCAGTGGGAGGAAACCGGAGGACCCGGAGAAAACCCACGAGGTTGGACAGGCGACCCTACTCCTTGTCACGTACAACCGGGGATTCGAAACCACGCCAGTCGACTCAAAAATAAAATGGAGTTTAAGCTGGTTTAATATCTCAGACGTGGGAGGTTTTTATTTTTGTGCTTTCGTCTAAGATTAATTGACTTCTTTTAAACATCACATTTGAAGCCTCAACATTTATCTCATCATGTTGTTTAAAGGAATATGTGATTATCCAGTAATATTTATCGCATCATGTTGTCTATAGGAATATATGATTATCCAGTAACATCTATCGCATCATGTTGTCTATAGGAATATATGATTATCCAGTAACATCTATCGCATCATGTTGTCTATAGGAATATATGATTATCCAGTAACATCTATCGCATCATGTTGTCTATAGGAATATATGATTATCCAGTAACATCTATCGCATCATGTTGTCTATAGGAATATATGATTATCCAGTAACATCTATCGCATCATGTTGTCTATAGGAATATATGATTATCCAGTAACATTTATTGCATCATGTTGTCTATAGGACCAGTATCTCATCATGTTGTTTATAGGAATGTATATTTACAGGATTATCCAGTATCTCATGTTGTTAGGAATGTATGATTATCCAGTATCATTTATGACTGTCAATAACATTTATCAGGTTTGTGTACTTGATGATTGAGCCTACTGTACATACTTGTTAGTATCAGAATGACCAAAATATTGTGTTGAGGAGATGAAATGAAATGAAATATGGTTTAATATCCTACTGTACTGCTCCAACTGGGATAATGAAGACGGGGATACGCCATACAGTGTGCTATGAGAGAATTTTACCCGGACAGCGGCGACCACGGCCAACTCTTATATAAAATTCCAGCTGTCAAGGGATCTTTTACGTGCACACATGTGTACACGGGACCTCAATTTTTCGTCCCATCTGAAAGACTATACAGTCCCTTGCTAGGCCCTCTGTCTTGCACAAGGGGGAAACCCCACCAGAAAATCCTGATGAGGGATCAAACATGGAACCTGCAGGTTAGCAAGCCAAAGTCAGTGGCTCCACAGAATTATCTGAGAAGCAGAATATATTTTTTAAATGGCCTAATACTTAAATCACAGAGACGTGGGCAGGAAAATATCTTAAAGTTATTCTCGGCTTTCTCTTGGATTGCTATTAAACAGAAACCCAGACTTATTTTTATCTGAATGGATTATTTACGGACACTGTTTAATTTAAATGTAAAAATATCATTCCATTGTTGACTGTTAAATATTTTAAAGATATGTACACTACGTAAGATTTAGTTCTTGCTACAATAGTTCAAAAATAGAATTGTAAAATGAATTTGAAAATTTCATTCAAATAACTTTATTCTTAGCCAGTAAACACTATTTCTAGTTTCGACAAGATACGTTCACTGATTATTTATTATCGTAACAACAGTACTGGTATATTCAAGTCTTAGCCTTGCTTCTTCATTTTTAACCTCCAAAGTAACCTCGAAGTGAAAGTCTTGTACTAAAGTAATCTCGAAGTGAAAGTCTTGGAGCCTTATTTATGAAAACTAAAAAATCTTGAGAATACAACCTTTATATTGGCTAAGAGATCAAATTTATGCGATGAGGGAAATTTTGCCCTGACAGCGGTGCTACAGTCTACTTTTATATCGAATTCCAACTTCTTTTACGTGCATGCCAATGTGTACACATGCGAACGACTAGACATTGTGCCTTCCCGGCCCCCGACCTACAGCACTGACAAGAGGAGACCACGGCGGAAAGTCATGATAAACTTTCTCAACCAACACAGGAATTGTCTATGGGACATCCAGGTTAGCGAGCGAGAAAGAGAGAGAAATGGGGTTTAACATCCACTCGACACAAACTAGGTCATTTCGGGACTAACATATGGTTTAATTTTATTTCAAAAATTCGCTAGCGCGTAGGGGTCTTTAGCAGTGGGAGGAAACCGGAGGACCCGGAGAAAACCCACGAAGTTGGACAGGCGACCCTATTCCTTGTCACATACAACCGGGGAATCGAAACCACACCAGTTGACTGAATGACAGACCGTATGATACAACGCGTGTATGCTAACCATTAAGCCATCCAACCCCCCATCTAGGTTAGCAAGCCTACGTCTTACTCACTGAGCCACCATGGCTTCAAAATATTTTCTGGCTCGTTAGCCTGGAGGTCGGGTGTTCGATCCCTGCATTGGCCGAAAAAGTTCATCCTGAATTTCCGGCATGGTTCCCCCTTGTCAGTGATGCAGGATGGAGGGCCTGACAAGGACAGCTGTCTAGTCCTTTGGATGACACGGAAAACCGAGGTCCCGTGTATACATTGGAATGCACGTAAGAGATCCCTTGGCAGTTAGAATTCGATATAAGAGTAGGCGATAGTGCAACTGCCCGAGCAAAATTTCCCTCATAGCACACTGTATGGTGTATGCCCGTCTTCATTAGCCCAGTATAGGAGCAGAACAGTAGGACGTTAAACCCCATTTCATTTTCAAAATATTTTAGTTTAAGTTTCCATGAATAGAGCCCTGGGACTACAGTTATTCTATAGTGAAAGCCTTGGACTACGGAAATTCAATTTATTTTCTTGTAATAACGACTCCTTAAGATATGAATTATATATACGTTAATCAAAATTTCACACCTCCAAGCTAAAATCAATTCTCACTACTATAAGTAGTCGTTCTGACAGAGTGAATATCCGTGGTCTATAGCTAGGAAGTCTATAATATAGAACTTGATCAATACAGAACTAGGAAATCTCATGATTTATATTCCATGAATGTGTTGAGTATGAAGATTACGGCACTCTTCAAACTCTAGATGGATAGAGAGAAATAGCTGGCAAGAATACAGATTATTAATCCTGGTGTGTCCGTGATAAACATATTCAAAATATAATACTCAATTAGAAATATGAGAGAGAGAGAGAGAGGGGTTTAACGTCCACTCGACACAAACTAGGTCATTTCGGGACTAAAACATGGTTCAATTTATTTCAATAATTCACTTGCGCGGTAGGAGTCTTTAGCATTGGGAGGAAATCGGAAGACCCAGAGAAAACCCAAGAGGTTGAACCGGGGATTCGAAACAGAGAGAGAGAGAGAGAGAGAGATGGGGTTTAACGTCGACACAAACTAGGTTATTTCGGGACTAACACATGGTTCAATTTATTTCAATAATTCACTTGTGCGGTAGGAGTCTTTAGCAGTGGGAGGAAACCAGAAGACCCGGAGAAAACCCACGAGGTTAGACAGGTGACCCTACTCCTTGCCACGTACAACCGGGGATTCGAAACAGAGAGAGAGAGAGAGAGAGAGATGGGGTTTAACGTCCACACAAACTAGGTTATTTCGGGACTAGCATATGGTTTAATTTATTTCAATAATTTGCTTGCGCGGTAGGAGTCTTTAGCAGTGGGAGGAAACCGGAAGACCCGGAGAAAACCCACGAGGTTGGACAGGCGACCATACTCCTTGTCATGTACAACTGGGGAATCGAAACCCCGCCAGATGACTCAATGGCAGACTTTATGATACAGTGCACACATGCTAACCATTAAGCTATTCAACCCCCCAGAAATGAAATAGTGTTTAATGGCATATATACAGTGGACACTGTCACTTCCGACATCAGAATACTACAACATTCTGTGAAAATCGTCAACATTTTCATGTCCCGATTTATTTCCTTATTACTTCAACCAAAGAAGGTTTGAGTAGTCTATATTCTGAATCTTATGAATTACAACATCAATCAGCGGTCCCATCACACGATTTGCGTTAAATTAACATTGGATAATCTGTGGGTGTTAACTGACAAGTAATCACCGATCAATTATCGGTGACCTTAAGACACCTGTCGGTCTTTGATTACTGTGATAATTTCATAATCTCTCCTAAGAGAGTACTTGGTATTTCATTTGCGTTTCTCACGTCAAATAGAGTGACATTATATATAAATTGCCGAGATGAAGAATCACTATCATTATAATATTGTGTCCATAACCTGTGATCATCCAGCAAAGCGTGCCTGTACGGATTTGACATTAGATGTTAAGCAGCAAATTATAGCAGATTTTGAGACAGTTCTACGACCTAAACAGACAGAATTAGTCATTAATTATTCAAAAGATGGTTCCATGTAGACAGGAATTACCTATAATTCTTTGCGCGGTAACTGTGTACACGGTCCTTGTATTAGTCCAGCACCATGCAACACAAATTACTTTTTGAACGCGAAAAAAAAACCTTGTTAAAAACTGCTAAAATATGTCGTCACGCCAATCATATCTCATGTACTAAATAACAAAATGGCTAGTGATGTCAGTACCATTTCTTACTTCAATACTCGTCGCTTCAACAACTAATCTGTCAATCATGATCCATATGAATATCGTGATATAAGAAACAGAAAGAAACGATTTTACTCTAACACACTATATATTATTTAATTCAGGTATATTTTAATTACAATCATATATTTACTCAATAAATATAGATTTAGATATTAAAGAGTGTTATAGACCGTTGGAGTTTGAAATAAGAGTAAACCATACGTAGCTCTGCCATGACGGCAAATGTTCTCTCATAGCACACTGTAATGACGTATTCCGCTATCCATTATAGTTGGTTCAAAAAGAAAAGAAATGAAATGGGGTTTAACGTCCTACTGTTCTGCTCCTATACTGGGATAATGAAGACGGGCATACGCCACACAGTGTGCTATGAGGGAAATTTTGCCCGGGCAGCTATAGCCTACTTTTATATCGAATTCCAACTGCCAAGGGATCTTTTACGTGCATTCCAATGAATACACAGGACCTGGGTTTTTAGTATCATCCGAAGGACTAGAACGTTGGAGTTTGAAATAAGAGTAAGTCATACGTGTTAAATATAAGGTTAACTATAATTATATATATTCTTTATTAGCTATCAGACGTACGTCTGCCTTTCATGGTTACATATATACAAGTAATGATCTACAGATACACAAGGGCTGAGGCGTCCTCTCACTGCACATGTGATATACGGATCTAATTAATATTCATGAGCCTGACAATAAGTAACACTGCCATGAGGGCAAAACTTCTCTCATAACACACTGTAATGACGTATTCCACTATTCGTTATACAATTAGTTACTTCAAAAAGATAGGACATTAAAGGAGCTATATCGTTAAAATTTGTGACGTACAAATGGCCACTGATGGGTCGTTTCGCATACAATAATGTAACATGAATGAATATAAACTGATTTACATTCAATCGTTTTCGTTTTTACTCCAATTTCAAATCAGTTACCTTCCTCGTATAAAAACAAAATCAATGTTGCTTTAAATTAACAAAAAATTCATTTTTTCAATGTCAAAGACTTTGGATGATATTGAGTTAGTAGCTACTTTAAATTACACTCCATTTTATTTCATGTCATCTTATAGAGCGGTAATCAATAAAGAATATTATTTGCTACATAAAGATCCATCTTTCTTTAAAAAAAACCATCAATCACAGCTCTATCTAGGATGAAAAGATTTAAAACATTAAAGGTGTTTTCTAGATTGATCAGCATCTTATTACTAATGAGAGAGAGAGAGGGGGTTTAACTTCACTCGACACAAACTAGGTCATTTCGGGACTAACATATGGTTCAATTTTATTTCAATATTTCCCTTGCGCGTAGGGGTCTTTTAGCAGTGGGAGGAAACTACAGACCCGGTGACAACCCACATGGTTGGACAGACGACCCTACTCCTTGTCACGCACAACCAGGTAATCGAAACTACGCCAGTGACTCAATGATAGACCTTATGATACAACGCACATACGCTTACCATTCAGCCATCCAACCCCCGAGCTAAGATGGACAAGCCATTCAGTGTTCTATGAAGTATTTTGTATTCGAAGGGTCAAGGTATCGTCGAACCCTGCTTATCGAGCAAGCATCCCACACATCGATCTAAGACACGTGATACAGAACCATATTATAATATAGTGATGAATACACGGATTATAATCAAGTGAATCAATAATAAGAAATATCTGACAACAAGAAGGATTAGACTTGTCTTCAGGTCTTATATTAATGATTTTACTAATAGATTTCAACTCTCTCCGAACCAAACCATCTGCTCCATTCTCTCTTATTTCCTTCATTTCCAGGCGCTTTTTTTATAATTAAGATATGCTCCAAGGCAACAAAATAGATACAACATTCACAACAGATGAGATCTTGTTTTTTTGTTTTTTTATTCAAACAAACTCAGAAGTAGTAAAGAAAATCAGTGACTTTTCATTGAATCGTTCCACCATTGTAAAGTGTTGTGTGACTTGCCTTAAAATAGGCCTTATTATCCAGTCCTAAACTTTAACGGGAAACAACATCTACAATCTATGGTGAATGGTTAATGAAGACAAGCATATGTCATACAGTGTGCCATAAGGGAAATTTGTGCGGAAATGGCACTACGCCCTTCACTTATTTCGAATCCCAACTGTCACAGATTCTTTGACGTGCATGCGTATAAGTACACAGGACTTTAGTTTTTTTTTTTCTGATTCAACTATATGTCGTCCCTTGTCAGGCCCTCCATCCTACACAACAGACAAGAGGGGAACCATGCTGGAAAATCCTGATGAAGTTTCTCTGCCAATGCAGGGATTGAACACGTGGACCAGCCAGTAAATGTCTACCTCCCTGAGCCACCATGGCTCCTAGTGGGTAAATGAAGACAAGCATACGCGATCCACAATGCTGTGACAGACATTTTGCTCGGACAGCAATTGAATTCTGAATGTCATTAAGGGCTGTTTAAGTTTTTCATCCTATTTAAAGGACTGGACACTCTGACCACTGACAGGTGGAAACCATGCATGAAAAATCTTGAGAACTTTCTCGGCCAAAACTAGGTTTCAACTTCCAGACCTCTGGTTTAGTACCAATCAAAGGACTTGACACAAAACTAAAGACATTTCAAATGTTCCTAATCAGTTCACAATGTACAAGTCCAATGGAAATAATTCTGACAAAACTAGCAAACAGAAGGTCAACAACTTTCCACGAGGGAAAGTGGTACCGAACCGACATGAACAGGTAATAAAACAGGGCTTCCACTTCAAAATTTTCACTGCCGGTCATTTTTGATAACGTCCAAAAACTTTGCAAAATAAATTCCTATTTCATGTTTTTTATTCATGGTAGGGTATTGTGAATTCACTTGTCTAAACCATTTTGTCAGCATGGTGTACACAAAAAATTTTCACTGCCGGTCATTTTTGATAACGCCCGAAAACTTTGCAAAATAAATTCCTATTTCATGTTTTTTATTCATGGTAGGGTATTGTGAATTCACGTGTCTAAACCATTTTGTCAGCATGGTGTACACAACAAATTATATATTGGATTGTACGACCACCAAATATGGTAAGAATTAAAAAAGGAAGACAAACCTGTTGTTTATCGCGAGGATTGCTGTCATCTTCTTCTGACGAACTTCCAGTATACGAGGCTGAAAATAAATAAAAACTTTGATAAAATCCTTTAAAAGAACGAGAGCTGATCCATATCTAGAAGTAGTACGGTTTATCTGGTATAAGAGATTGTGCATCCCCTTTTTTCATGGAGCATTGACGCATCCCCTATTTATCCTTAAGTATCCCCTCTTTATGTAAGTTTATACACTAAGAGGAAGTATGCGACAGGTGACAGGTGAGATAAAAGTCACAAATAATCGTTGTTTACGATATATGAACAAAAATATTGAAACATGCTAAAAAAACAATTTTAAAAAATTTGTCAAATCTAAACTTTTCACTTTCGTGTTATATCATTAAAAAGATATTTTTTTGTGTATTTTAACATTTTTGTTTACATCGTAAAAGATTTGTGACTTCCAACTCATTGTGTGCTAAAAAAGATTCCAATTCAAATTGGCGCAAGGCCAGACACAAGCCGCTTTACCACCATCTTCGTCATATTCCCACAGGATTGCAGGCTGCGCAATTCTCAGAAACGTGGAATCGGACACATGATTTAAGTCTGTAAAGCTAGCTGCCATCTTGTAGTGAATACACGTCCTGCTTAATGTAAAGTCGAATATATGAATAATATTAAATTAGAAGATTCACGTACATCAAACTATAAATCACCGAGTCCTGGAGAGAGAGACAACATCTAATGCTACGAATAGCCTATAGTCATATTAAAAAGTTAAAAAGATTATCATATTCATAGATTCCTGTGGATATATAATATATATATCATGAAAGAAATTTGAACCACTTAAAGATACATTATGTAAGATTTAGATAAAGAGCTGGCCTGTTTCTTGCTATAACAGTTATAAAATAGACAATGCAAAATGAATATATTGAAAATTTCAATCAATCATTCAAATTATTTTATTCTGAACCAAGTTATCATTGTTTGTAGTTTTGACAAGATATGTGCATTAATGGTACTGGTATATTAGAGACTTAGCCTTGCTTCTCCACTTTTAAATTAAATCATTAAATACTGCTCTAATCTACTTCAAATTGGAGCCACCTGATTTCCTAGAGAGTTGATTATGGTCTTGTCACGTTAACCCGTTAAGCGTGACGTTTTTAAAACGTTAACTACCCCCTATTGTGTAATTAATTTGACTAGGTGACTAAGAATAGGTTGGGGAAAATACCTCCAAGGCGTTATATTAATCCCTACACACAGTGAGTGGCAGTTGTCCAGGACGTTATATAACAACCTACGCACTTAACAGGTTAATAAAAGTGTAATTAATAATTTATATAACATTTAAAACAGATATAACAAGAGAACGCATAATTCTCACTACTTAAATATGTCAGAAGATATACTCGGTCTTTTCAAATTACATTGCATACAAAATTTGAGGCAGATCTGTGGTTCTTCTTGTGAGAATTTCAATTTCTCTATCTAAAATTGCCAACACTTGGTAGAATTTTATTTCTAGCTATTCTCAGGAAGGGTGTGATGCAACAGAGACAGGATGTGATGTAATAAGGGACAGGATTTGATGTAATAAGGGACAGGATGTGAAGAAACATGAGACAGGATGTGATGTAACAAGAGACAATGTGTGATGTAAAAAGACAGGATGTGATGTAACAAGAGACAGGATGTGATGTAACAAAAGACAGGATGTGATGTAACAAGAGGCAGGATGTGATGTAACAGCGGCAGTACACATAACCATTGGCTCTAGATAGTTTTAATATTAAGAGAATCAATTGTAAGCTTGATCACAGTGACCTGTAAGTTGATAAACAACCTTTAAAATTGAGTTTCTCAGATTTGACTGTCTCAAGGTCAAAAAGCTAATCAAGAAGAGCTCCACCATCATGAGAATTTTTCTTTTATATCAAAAGGTCAACCAGGTCAATTTACACAGATTCAATAACGTCGGAGTCTCTAATAACAAGACTGTTCAATGCTTATAAATAATCTATTGATTTTACAGTCTGGATAACATGGACACAACGAATCGACCAATAGACATTAATCAATAACTGCAGCGATAAAATTATCCAATTTATCATTCCAAGTTACTTTAATTGGTTTCAGTTTTATGAGTGCAATTACCCTAGCTCTACGTGGGTTTAATGTCTATGATTTACGAATAGTAAGGCATGCTGGGATTAAATTGATCAATCATGTCAGACACGCTGTCTAATACGACTAACATTACCGTCATGGTTGTCAAGTTTACATCTTTACTAGTTGATTAGATTTCATAGGGAGCGGGGCAGACGGGCACAATAATCAGATTACAGGAAAGGATTGCAACATCCATATTTGTTTACTTAATTCAGACGTGAAAGAAAAATATTGTTTGAAATAAATCTGTAAGCGAGTTGTCAGTTGAGTACATTGCCTCACATAAAACTTCCGCAGGACTTCCAGTGGCTCAGGAAGTATGGCACCGCCTCACTTACCTGGTCGTTCTTCATTATTTCCCACCGTGATAGCCCCTAGTCAGTGGGGCAGAGAGAGAGAGAAATGGGGTTTAACGTCCACTCGACACAAACTAGGTCATTTCAGGACTAACATATGGTTTAATTTTATTTCAATAAATCGCTTGCGCGTAGGGGTCTTTAGCAGTGGGAGGAAACCGGAGGACCCGGAGGACCTGGAGAAAACCCACGGGGTTGGACAGGCGACTCTACTCCTTGTCACGTACAATCGGGGAATCAAAACCACGCCAGTTGACTCAATGACACAGCGTGCACGCGCTAACATTTCAGCCATCCAGTCAGTGGTGCAAGATCGTTGCTAGGAACAGACAGTGTCTAGTCGTTTGGATGGGACCAAAGATTGAGGTCCCGTGTAAATGTTGGCGTGCACGTAAAAGGAATCTTTATAGTTGATAGTTGGAATTTGATGGAGAGAGGTAGTTACGTGCACGTAAAAGTTCCCTTGGCAGTTGGAATTCGATATAAGAGTTCACCATTGCGCCACTATCTGGGCAAAATTTCCTTCCTAGCATACTGTATGGCATATTCACCATTTTGATTCATATTATTTTAAAAACAGATCTAATGATACAGTGTTTGTTTAAAGAGAAAGTAGAAATCCCCCACCCCTGAAGTGGGTTCGACAGGTAGTATAGACACAGGTGTATTAAATAAGATACAACAGTATTAAGTTTAGATTTATCAACAGAGACAGGAAACACGGCAGGGAATACGGTATTTGATATATTCTTCAATGGATAAGTAGTTACATAGGAATTATTTACTACCCTTGAAGATATTATATCTATCTAATAAACCAAAAATTCAAACTGATTTGGCCTAAAAAATAGATATTTCAAACAAACCCTAATATAACATTTAGTTTTAGACTACCTGGCTTTTTATACATTTCACCGATATGGTTAATTGTATAGGTAATTTTTACTTTAATATGCTTAAATTCATATTTCATGTGGCATATAGCAGATCATGACTCGTACTAGTATTATACAATGTTTTTGGGATATATTCCTTCTTATAGTTCGTTTTCATTTTAGAGGGAAGTCTGTGTCACTACAGACCCGGGACTTACAGTGCAGTGGACGCTTACGGGCTAGCCCCCAGATCTATTCACTTAATCTGATATATATGTTGGTTTGTAATTTCTGTGTATAGTATCTTGTCCTCTAGATTTGTCTTGTGTAATCGTGTGTGGTGCAGTCCCTCTGCAATGACTATCAGTGATTTGTCCCCGAGTGGCCCTCTTCAAACCAGGATTTATCCAATCCTTATAGCGTGGGGTGTTGAGTTATTTGCCCCTGCTTAAAAGACATGCTTATCCAGTCCTTAATCTTAATAGTTAAATATTCCACCTACACAATGTCTAAGTATAGTAGAAATAATAGTATGTGCAACCCTACGGACAAGACAGACACCACAAACAATGAACACATATTTCAGATCAAAGTTAATGGATCCGGGAGGGTGGCTAGTCGTAAGCATCTACTGCGCTGTAATAGAATTTATTAAGAAATGCCGACTGCACGCTGTCCTATAATACAACCTTTTAATATGTTTATTTAGATACATAAGCATCTACAGCGCTGTAATATAGAAATGACGACCACATGCTGTCCTATAATAGACGCTTTTAATGTTTAATTACAGGTAGATCTATTTTCTGTGTCCAGTAATATATCTATTTATAGATGAGTAAATCGCCCCCTGACAGACGGAAACTGTAGTAATGGAGAATATTTATAGTTATTGCGTTTCAATGATAGTTGATTGGTTTATATCACGTATTACGACAGTTAATTTATACCCCGGACGACATGTCAACTGACAACTTGTTATTAGTGTTCATTATCGGTGTTCATCAATAATCAACAGGAAAGGAATGTATTGAACATCTCATCCATTCTTCAACATCGTAATTCATCGACTTGATTTTATATTTGTTGTTTATTTCGTGCAATGTCTGCGTAGTTCATCTTGTCCGCAGACTTGTCTTTTTAGAAATTAGGGTTGGGGGGGGGGGATGGGCCAAATGGCTAGCGTGTGCGTGTTGAATCATAATGTCTGTCATTGAGTCAACTGGTGTGGTTTCGTTTTCCTGATGGTACGTGACAAGGAGTAGGGTCGCCTGTCCAATCTTGTGGGGTTTTGAAGAATGTCTGCAGGTTTGTCATGTCCACTGGTTCATTGAGAGATGAATTTAACGTTTACTCAACACAATGTCAGGCCTTATAAGGACACAATGACAGGTATGATCTAAATCATACATACCTGTCTCAACTAAAATATTGACACATATATTAACAGACCTATATACTGAAGAAAATGGCTGGCTATATTTCATTTTGTCTGAAAAGTTTCTGTTATGAATTATAAATCTAAATAGAAATGTTTGGACTCGTTAAACATGAAAACGTTATTTATAAATAAATCTTTAAATCAAGAAGAAAGAAGGAGATCAATAAGAAGTAATTGATCAATTCTTATCTTGGAAGTCATCTTACTAGGTGAGTTAACATAA